CCTTCTGGTCTAAATGTTTCTGGAATTATTTTCTGCTTAGTTCTAAATATTTANTAATCGTGGCTATTGTATCGTCCAAAATTATTTTATTTTGCACAAACAATATATATTATATATATATATATTAATAAATGTAAAAATAGAACAAATTATATTTCAAAGTTAGTTTTAATATAAAATTATAATGACTAGCGCCATCTACTTTCAAAAAGTTCCAATGCTGAAATGAAATATCTCAGGTCAACCAGTCGAGTTCTAATTAAAGATCACATTATAAACAGAAAAACTGAATATTCAAAGTACAGTACTCAAAAGAATTGCGTGATGAAATTGATCATTACTTATTGTCAGCTTATATCACGGTGGTGCCTCTGCCCACAAATTTTTTCATATTTTCGTATTGTTAGGAATAGCAAACACCAAAAGTTGTAACATTTTTGTGAGCTCTTGTAATAATTAAGTAAAAAGAGTTATATGAATAAAAAAAGAGTTGATTATACCAAATGAGGGTTTTATTTAGAATTTATGCACTTTTAAACTGTCAAATGGTTGAAACTTGCTCTCTAAAAACAAATTTTGCTTGGGGCCACGCAGCCCCCACGATACTAGTTACATTTGTCAAATTTACAATGCCAGTTAAGGGTCAAAAAATATTGGCCATTCAATGGCTACTTTTCAGTTAGTGACATTCTCATCATGTTGTTTTTCAGTGGCACTTTGGAAAAATGTTATATTCTTTGTTAGCACGTGGAACTGATGATATTATCAAATGTTGCTAGTAAAGAATAACAACTTATTTGATCCTAGTGTTAAGTTATAGTGGTAAAAATGACATTACAAGCATTTATTTATTTTTGAACGACACGACGAGATAACGGAATGTCGAGTTATCGAGACTCTACTGTACTCGTAAAAGCATCTGTCAATTTTGCCATTCCGAACCGAATCAATAACATTAATTTAGTTTCCAAGATATGCGACAGACAAAAGCATAAAGTCAATATAAAAACAATCAAACGTGTCTTAAAATCACTGTCTAAATCAATCAAAGGGCCTCCAACCTTTTTATGAGAGAGGTCACATAAGCCATAAAAGGAGTCAGGTTCAAAAGATATAGTCAAAGATTTCTTCTCCAAATACCAATGAACAGAAATCAATGTAAAATTTGCAATTGTTTTTCAAAAGAATGTTGTCAAAATCCAGAATAAATTTTGTGGTACCCAATAATAAAATCCCCTTTAGATGTTCACTGAGCAATAATGTTTAATATTTTGATTTCATATATTTCATTTACAAAAAGGTTTGTTCACAAAGATATGTAGAAGCAAAAATATAAAGCATTTCCCATGCAACTTCAAGACTTAAAATACTCTTTTGGCACAGATTTTCAAAAATTTAACAAATTCCCTTCTTTAAACAGGATTTTATGAAACTCGAATAAAGTGAACAAAAACATTTAACTGGTTAAGATTACATTATTTTGTACTTCTATTGTAGTAACTCGGGATGCCCCCTAATGGGTGTTCTAGCAGGAGTCGTGTCATTCCATGGTATAAATAATTAATTCCTATTACAAATAAAAATAATAATATACTGAATTTCTCATGGCGTACTCTACTGAAACGCAGCCAAAAATGCAAAAACCACATCAAATAATAATATACTGAATTTATTGTTAATTTAAATAATAGCTAGGGGCGCTCCTAGTGGCCATTTTTGCATACAGTGACAGAAAGAATGAATCTGGTTTTCAGCTTTATATAGTTAGATTTTATTTTTATTTGGTGTCATTTTTATAACAAAAATGTTATAAAAGTCCTAAAATATAACTGATCATTATGACATTTCCTTCTGGTTTATAATCAAACAACACAAAGAATTGTTCCAGCTAAGTGAATGTGATTGTAGCATCAGTTGTCTAAAGTCAATTTTAAATTTTGCTTCTATATTCTAATTTCTGTTTAAAAGCACTCCTTCAAAAGTCTAAAGGCTAAATAAAAGCTGCTGAAAATGTTCAAATTAAAAATATTGCCAGTTTTAAAGATGTTTGTAGTATATTTTATAAAAATCATTTGAGGCAAAGTCTATTAATTCTAGTTGACTTTTCAGAAGCTTATGTGATTTGAACTAGTTTGAATGTTGACGATAAAATGTGCTGGCAAAAACTGAACTAGGCAAGCTGAATAAATGTGTGTCTGGAATGGTATTTGGCTAGCAGGCATTAGTTTAGAGACCTTCTGGTCTAAATGTTTCTGGAATTATTTTCTGCTTAGTTCTAAATATTTAGGTAATGAATACAGTTTTTTACTTTAATCATAATTTTTGATTTTTTAAAAACAGAAATGAATATTTGTATCTATAAAAAAAAGTGAATATCAACTTCTTAATTTCTGAGAAATTTCTCAAACAAGCAATTAACAAAAATATATAAAAATATAAATAAGCATTTTCATATATCTTGAATCTATAAATCTCATTAAAAACAAATTAACATTAATGTTTAATGTATCATTAAACATAAATGTAACAAATTAGTAAAATATAAAACATTGTAAAATTACCAACTTATTCAGTTAGGTACACACATGTTCAGTAGAGGTTATTGTGAAAATCTCATTCAAAATAAATTTATGTAACACATACAGAAGTCAGAAAATAGTAAGATCTTTTAATCTAGGAATTTTTGAAAGTATTTTTCTACAAAGAAAACTTCATTAAAACAATTAAACATAACAACTATGGCATTTTTCTAAACAAATTGTTAATTCTACATTTAATTGAAATTTATTTTTTTCAATCATTGGTTATTTTCAATGAATGTATATATATATATATACTCATTGAAAAATAACCAATGATGATATGATTTAGAACTTCTGTCGGCAAGAATTAACAATTTCTAACAATGCTTAGACAAGTTATTGGCATTGATTACTTGAATGGCTGCACTTCCTAGGAAAAAATTAAACGAAATAACTATTCCCATTACAATTATAAATAAAATATTAGACAGCATTATGCAGATGGAAGAGTGCAAGTTGCAAAACTTTTTGAAGTAATATGTAATGTAAAAAGAACAATCTTCAAGAAAAAGAGTACTTTATGTTTTGATTAAATGGTTTTGAACAAATAAGTTCAATTATTCGAGTAAGAAAATAATAACTTTGGCATTTGTGCTACGTTTCTTTCAGTTTCGACATTGATATTTACACATTCTAATAATAGTTTCATTACGTAAATATCACTCATAAAATTACAGAAGATATTGCATTAACCAACTGAGAGAGTTGTCAGTCTGAAAATCAGAACTGCTGAGTCAACAGATAACTATAAAAATACACATAATAGCTTAAAAAATATTTAATTAGCAAAAGCATATTCATACTACCCGTATTTTTAAGTACATGTACAACAGGATGTTTGTATAATGTTCAATTGCTTGGATACAAAATTCAACACTTTGCAACATAATTTCTCATTTTTTTAGAAATGGTTCTCTGTCAAGTAAAATTGCCATTTCTAAAATTTTATAAAGGGACGAGATCAATTGATCCAGTGAGTCGGTAAGGAAAGGTTTAACCGATTATTCCGATCCGTACACAGAACCGTCTTGATGGCAATGTAAGTCCCCGGACAAAGCAGTGTACTGGATCCTGCCTAAACGACTGACAGGTGGTGATTGGAAAATTAGTGTTAAATTGTGGTCTGCACATAAATTAACACAAAGCTCTCGGACAGCTGTCCAGCATTAAGACGGCACTGTCTGCAAGTCCCGTTTGTATCCCATATTTAAAAGATAATGATATACTGCGGAACTATTTTATTAAAACCATACAATAATAAATAAAAAGTATTCAAAGAAAGATAAATTTATGTGATTTTATTATGTATGTCCATGTACAAATACCTAAAAAAATTCATTTACGTTTTAAGTCAAACAACAAACCAAATTGTCAAATTTTTTTAATAAGATTGTTTTTGTGAGTACAAGTAACTGTTTGTCTAGAGTGATAAATTCACCAACATAACAACTTTGATATTAGATAATTCTAGGTTAATCTTATTAACTAAGATTTGACACATTGCCAATTTCTATAATCGACACGAAAAGTCGGCAAGGGCTCTTGCACGACTTTCCCGGTGCTCAAAATTTATACATTTAAAATTACGTATTATCGATATGCCAGTAATTGGAAATGTTAACTGTTAATAAAAATTCACTTTAACGAGAAAGGTTTCGAAATTAAAACTGCATAATAAATGTTTCAATGAAAATAAAATACTCAATATAAACATTAATTAAATTTAAAATTAATCTTACCAACATTGTGAACTTAACACATTTTTTGCAAATTTTAATAAAATAAAGACACTTACTAAAAAATGCTTTATCAATAATTTTATGTAATGTGTTAAAAATAACATACTCACCCCTTTACAATTGAAATTACAAAGCTTTTTATTGCTTCATCAGATATCTTGGAATATGTATATATTCAAAAATTTCATATTAACAGCATCACAACGTTATAAACGATCAAAAGATAAAATTTTTGAATTTAAATAATTCTGTAAATATCTGACAATAAGACAAGTGCTGCAATTACTTAAAAAGAATTAACATTGCCAGATAAATAATGCCATACAAACATCATTTTGTTTGGGAATCATTTTGTCAGCTAACAATACCAAAAGAATGAAACAGAGAGAGATAGAGAGAGAGAGAGAGAGAAAAAAAAAAAGCTTTCATTACAGTGAATTGCAAATTAATATTGTTAATATATAAAAATGTACAGGTATTAAATAATTTTATCAAACAAAAACATAAATCTGATAAAATGATATTTCAGAAAAAATTAATGAAATTACACACATCAGAAAATTAAAATTTGTGGATAATTACAAACTTATGTAATAGATTTTTTAAAGTTTATACCAGGACAAAATTTTGACACAGCCTGTATATAGATCTCCAGATAAATCCAGATTACAATACTTACCCAATCCACTTGCAATAGAAGCCAGAGCTGAAGAGGTGGCCAGCTGACGAGCTGGAGCTTTTGAGATATACATACAGAGTTTAGTAACATTGAAAACAATAGAAGATCAGATAAAGGAATTAAATGGGAAGTGTTTGAGGTCACTCAACATTTCCCCTAAATTCAGAAAACCTACAATTGGAAAAAATTACATCAAACATACAAGATTAATGCATTACCGTGTCAGGGGAAAACCCGACGAACGAGTTAACATGCCTAATACAGTCGTTTGGGAATCAGAAAACAAAATCAATGTATTTTGTTTTTCTATTAAAATACTTACGGGTCAAAGAGCAATTTTAAGAACAAATCATCAAACAAATAACAGTTCTTAACATCAATGCCACTCGGGACGTTGTATCTCAGACGTATTCATTTAATTTCAGAAATGATTTGTATTTTGAACAATTTGATAAAATTCATCAAAAGCAACACGTTAAAATTACATTTTTACCTTTTTTGTAATACATTACTCTATTCATATGTTAAAGATCAGACAGCAAATTTCATAAAAACACACACAAAATGTATAAAACTAATGCAATTACTACACAATCTTTACAAACTGCATTCCTTTAAATCAACAGACAGAGAAGCAAAGGAAGTCATTGCGGAGACACATTCAATAAATTAACCAGATTTGAAACCATTCTTTACAAATATTTTTTAATATAGTCTTCATTTAAATATTTGATATATTAATTTCTAGTTTATTTTACTATTTATACTCTTAGTAATATCTGCTCTACAAATATGTAATTCTATAATTACTTGTAAATATCAAAAGAAAATATAGTTAGTTACATTAGGAAACATCTAAATATAATCCTACAATTTATTTATTAATTAAATTTATTATTTTATTCAAATATACTTATAAATTTAATGCAATGTTTTATGCAATATTTTATGCACATTGTTTCTAATTTAAGATCATAAGTAATACATGTTAATTTAAGTCTTTCAACAAAAGTTGCACATAAATTTCATATTCTCATATAAAAAGTATTAAAATTGTTTAATCAAAATTGATTAAACAAAATATAATTTACCTATAAAAAGATAACAAATTCCTTCAATTCTCAGAAATAAATATAACCACGGTTTCAAATAAAATATTTTGTTTGTAAGCAAAAAACATTTTAAACTTTTTTGTAGTGAAATTGGTTATGAGTTTTGTAGTGTCTTGTCCCTGTACAATATACTTTTCCTTTAACAGAGTTGTGCCAGTCATCTAACTAACTCCTTTCGGAGTAAAATTTTTGAACTGAAATAACACGACTTCGGGTTTGCATTATATGTTTGTATATAGTTAATCGAGACCTCATGCCCCTAAGGTTTTCATATCTGGTCTCAGATTTCATTTATCTAACTTCATTCTTGAAATTAAGAAAAGACAGACAAACCAACAACAGTGGAAATTTATAGATAAATTGCAGCCCAATGAAGTGAATAATTGAAAGTTTTCATTAAAAAATCATAACTGCATCTTTAACAAGATACATGAACATTTGTGAAAAAAAAATGAAATTAGTTATAAAATTTAAAAAATAACCTATTATACTACAAAGCAGTCAAAATAGTTTAACAGTGAAGATGGCAAGATCCACATTTCATTTGAATTTTAATTTATGAATAATTTAAGTTTGTTTACCTAATAAAAATGTCATGTTAAAAGAAAAATGCAAAAAAAGTTACAAGGGTAAAAGAATCATAAAAGTCGACATAAATAAAATTTGTGTGACCGACTTCTGTCATACAAATACAAAATACTCGGTCTTCGCGTGGCCGACTTTAAGGTTTTTGAGCATTTGCAACCACTGTTAAGATTCTTTTTAAACCCACTACGAAAATGAAACTTAAAATATCTCAAACATTATTTGATTAATTATTGTAATAAAGTTAACTGAATACAAATATAATTGAATTTCAGATACGTACAATTTCATATAAAATGTTAATTAGTTGTTCTCTTACTCACAATGCCATATTTTTTAAGGGACAAAAAGTAAGAATCAACCAGATATTAAATATTAGTTAGATAATTGATGGCGGAGCCCATTATGCACTTACGCATCTACGGCAGCAAAAGAAATTCGCCGAATTTCTGGAAACAAAACCCAACAAACAGAGGTCTTCTGACAGACGAAAACATTACAGTATAAATAATATTAACAATGATCTTCATCCTGTCCTACTTCTCTAACAGAAAGATGGCCATGTAGACATGTCAAATAAACAGTTCTTAAGAGTCAAATGGTCATTATAATATTTTTAAAATAAAAAGGCTTGAGAAAATTGTTATTATTCATTTTTATCTTTCCAAAAACTGAATAATTCCACCATTCCTGACAAATAATAGTTAGAGTATCTTTTTGGAATTGATATATGAATTATTCAATCGACATAGAATGTAAACAAATATTTTTCAATGTTGCACTTCTGTGAAATAACATTTTTAAATTTTATTTTTGAATTTTGACCACTATACAATAATTCTGTAGGTCAATTAATTATAGATATACATAATTTAAAACATATAGACAAGTATTTTAAAGTAACAGATGCATGCAAAAGAAATTTTTTAGAGTAATATAAATTCTTTTATTATATTAATCATATTTTGATTGTATAACAACAATTATACAATTTAAGTTACTAAAGACATGTAAATATACATTAAAAAGTTTAAATGCAGAACAGGTATCACATTTTTTAAAATTATATTTCATTCTAAACAATTTGAATTACATTAGCAGAGAATATTTTTTTTACCAATATTATTACCAATTTTGTTAAGTTTCCTAAAACTAAGCAGCAACAACAACCCTATAGATACTGATTTCATAATTTTAAATTTAAAAAATTCTAAAAAATTTAACTTATGATTTTATAATCACTTCTGAAAGTAAATAATCACATCTTTAAAGTAAACGCGTAAAACTCATTGATAATGTTTTCGTAAATAGAACTGAATAAGTTTCAAATTTAAAAATAAAAATCTATATTAATTTTTTCAATGCTAAATATTTCAGAAAAAAGTAAATTAAAATGTAACATCCATAATAATCCTACCTTTGGACAATGCTTTCTGGTGAACTTCTTTTGCAACATTTAGAATCTGATCGGTAGTTACGTCCAATAAAATTTCCGTCAGCATTCTTCTAACTCTCAACATCTATCAAATGATATGCTAAATATTAAAATTGTATAATTTATTTGTTTGTTTATCTTTCTTTGTGTTAGCCAATTGTGTCCTACAGAGTTGATACCAGTGCCTATGCAATATCAGACTAAGGTCAAGGAATAATAGCTACTGAAAAAGCAGTTATGTACTGAACTGTTAGTGAATACATCTGTATTTAAAAATTTCCTATGTGGCATGTGTTTAGTTTAGCTGCTTTTGGTAATGTGATGTATTGCTGCTGTTGAAACCTAATGCTTCTAGAATTTTCTATAGTATATGCTGGTGTGAGAAAATACTACAGGATAAATAAGTGTTTTATCAGTTCTCTACAGATGCCTTATTTTATGGGAGTTCTGAATTATATACAAAGTACTGTATGTACACCGAAAAAATTAGTGTATGTTATTAGTGTCTGCTATAGCAATGTCTGTAATGAATGTGATTTTGCCTTGTCTGTCCACAAATACAATATCTTAGTTTGTTTTGATGATTGTTTTGTCTGTAATCGTGGCTTGATCATAGCATATTTTGTTTACATTTCCTATGACCGTCCAAAATGGGTGTTTGTAGTATGGTTCCCGAGCCTGTGGTAGTTTCTGTTTGCACACAGTCTTTTATCAATTATACTTGTTTCAGTAAAATTACAACCATCTACAGTACTTATACAATCAAGTAGCATTTCAGGATATTGACAAATTCTGAATGTAAGACATGAATCTTGGGTCTGTCACTCTGCAAATGTTGTATAAACTTCACAAATACTTCAGCACTGCTTATATACAAAAGAAGCTTAGCTTTCATAGAACATTGCCTTAAAAATCTTCTTATTGTTCTTATTGTGTACAGACTGCTGAACAGGAGTCCGGAATGTTTTTGAAGAACATGTTTTGTAAAGTAATGTATCACTGCATCCAATTGTTCAACTATGCTTGTTCAGCAGTCCCAAATGTTAGCCAGCTTTTTAAAGAACACTTCAACAAGCAATTTTTTTTGAAAAACTTGATTTTTTTGCACTTCATATTCTGCACACTGTGATGGCAGCAATCCATCAAAAAATCGACAAACAAGTACCACGACTTCAGGTGCATCACCCACAATTTCCAATAATGTTTTCAAATATGCATTATGAACAGTATGAATAAAGCAAGTCTTCATCATCTAACTGTTAAGACATTTTCATTTACTTTGAACAACACTTTCTTATTTGCATTTGATCATCTGAGTCAAGCATTAACAATTTAGTCAATGGCAAATTCACACTACTGACACAAATCAGAATTTTTTGATGCAAAGTATCACCATCTGTATGACACAAAAACAGATTTTAAATGTCTACAAATCACTTGATCTTGAAGTTTTGACCAATGTCTAATTTTGATTTGAAGTTCCTTTTGGTCTTCAGCATTTGTAGTTTTATCAGAGCAAATAATGGTAAAAAAATATATTCTAAACTTGCTTCTTCCAGCATTTCTTACCAGAAATATGGAGCTATTATTTCTGTGATTAAGCAGTGGAACTTCTTTGGGTTTAACCTATTCGATGTTGAAATTTTTATTTGTTGCCTGTGACGCCATGTAAAATTTTCATTGATGTTAAGCCTAAAATTTTTTTTTTCTTATTTTTAAATAACAATTGTATTTACTGTATTGTAAAAAATTATTTTTTTATGTTTCACAAACAAAATAAATATATTGAATAATATAGAAACAAAAAAATTATATTTTAAAAGTTTGTTTTAATATAAAAATCGTGATGCATAGCGACATCTAGTATCAAAGACGTTCCGATGTAAACACGAAAATATTCAGGATTGCCCACGCAGGTCAATGAGGTCAACACGAATATTTTCAGGAACAACATAGACAGGTTAAAGAGAATTCTTTTGGGACACCTGTAGGAAATGTAACATGAAAAATTTCAGCAATTTTCTGATAGGACGTTGTAGAATAAGGAAAATAGCTTGTTTTCTTTTTTGGGAATTTTTGTTGAGGATAGAAATATTAAAATTGTAATAAAGTTTGTACATGCAACTTTTAAAACCCATAATAATTCAGCACTTATAGCACGATCCCTTTTACCAAAGAAATGTAAAGTGGCATGTTTGGACTAATTGCTGATTATGTTTAGCATCTGAAGAGTATGACTATCTGTAATATTGTTTAACAGAAGATATAGTAAGATGCAGCTGCCTAGGATCCCAAAACAATGTGTTCTGTTTATGTTTTGCCAGATTTTGAGTGGTTGAAGACTGTATGGAATTCCTTATTTCCAATGTTTATTGAAGAATGACAGAGTTTGCAGAGGATCCGGCTATCACTCTTCTTACTTCCCCCATGTACATATAACATAACCATTGTTGTCTTTCTTTATTATCAAATCTTCCCCGCTTGCATTTCCCCATCTTCCTTATACCCTTGCCTTTAGTATGACCAATATCCTAATGCAAATGCAATATGAAAAGATGCAGTTAGGTCCATCAGCAAATAACACTATATCAAGAATCTCAGTTCCCTACATGCTAGGGCTGTAGAATCATTTTAAAAAATCTACCAACTCCACCTTACACTTCAACAGCAACTCCAACTTCACTCCACAGCTCTGCTAGATGCAAAACACAACATGTTCATTTTAATCTTTGTTGCAGCAATTTTTTAAAATTGTAATTAAAGATACATTCTCAATTATATTTGAATTTATTTTCTGTTTTGTTAAAAGATTTTTAAGAAATAAACTAAAATATAATTGAGAATGTATCTTTAAGTACAATTTTAAAAAATTAAATGAACATGTTGTGTTTTGCATCTAGCAGAGCTGTGTACTACGCTGGACCAGACTATGTGCCTTGACTCTGGCCAAGTCACATAGTAACCAAATCAAGACAACTTAAATAAGTGTGTCAGCAGTGTGTGTCTGTATTTAGGAATATCCTAACAATATGACATGTATTTAATATAGTGGCCTTCTGTAGGGTGATGTACAGGTATAGGACAAAATAATAGGAACACCCCTTTCGAAATGTGTTGTACATCGACTGTCCAATACAGCCCCACCACGTGTTGCAAGTCTGCCATCCAGTGGCGGTGAAAGGAAAGGTATCAGTCAAGCATTTGGCAGTGTGACAGTTGCTTGAGAAAATTCTGTTCCCAGCAAAGCACCATTATGTCCAACCTGTCCGACGTGCAAAGAGGCATGATTATTGGAGCTCACCTTGCTGGAGCGTCCGTGTCTAGAACAGCCAACCTCATGGGTGTTTCAAGATTCACTGTGTCAACGGTTATGACAGCCTACACAAAACTGGGAAAGGTGTCTGCTGAGAAGCAGAACAGTGGGCAAAAGTCGAAGTTGACCAACCGGGATAGATGAGTGTTGAAGAGTATAGTCGCCCAAAAACGTAACACCACACTGCAGCAGATAACCTCTGAGATGAACACCCATCTCCAGAACCTCGTATCCACCAAAACTATTCAATGAGAGCTGCATGCTGCAAGCATTCATGGCTGAGTAGCCATCCCAAAGCCGTTAGTGTCACCACAGAATGCTATGAAGCAACGACAGTGGTGCCAAGACCACCAAAACTGGAAACAACAGCAATGGAAACAGGTCATCTGGTCTGATGAACCATCATTTAAATTATTTCAGACCACAGGATGTGTGTTTGTCTGGCGAATACCAGCAGAGGCATTTCGTGTTGACTGTCCAGTTCCTACCATGAAGCATGGAGGGGGCTCTGTGATGCTGTGGGAAGCGATATCGTGGTATGGCTTGGGCTACCCATAGTCCTGAGGGAGAAGGTCAGAGGCGAGCGTTATCGCAGTATTCTCGCAGATCATTTACATCCTATACTTCATACTCTGTTTCCTGGAGAACGTTCTCTATTCCAAGATGGCAACATCCCTGTACTGTGCTCGCTGTGTTCAAACATAGTTGGATGAGCATAATAATGAAGTGGAACATCTCACATGGTGTCCTCAGTTCCCTGATCTCAACATCATTGAGCCTGTGTGCAGTTTTTTAGAGAACAAAGTCTGTGCTCGATTTCCATCACCAAGCACACTTACCTGAACTTGAGACAACTCTGCAGGAGGAATGGCTGCAAATTCCCTTAAACTTTCTGCACAAACTTTATTATCTCAATCCCAGGTCTGATACAAGTGGTAATTCAGGCCAATGGTGGCCCAAATCCCTACTAATAAATATTTTGCATTCTTTCAAAGGTGCTCCTATTATTTTGTCCTATATCTGTGTATTTCTATTCAATTGTAATGTTCCCAGGCTTTTGTGTAGTGTGTGGGGTATCACACCTGTACAGGAGAGAATGACAGATACAATAAGCACCTTATCCATCCTCCATAGATGCCTTATTTCCTGGGTGAGTTCTGTGTACTTGCTAATTTTTTCAGTGAATGTGTTTTGTATATTATGAGTGTTTGGAATGGATATGTCTATAATGTATGTGATGTGATATTATTATTATTAAGTTTCTGCACTGTTCAAAATTTATTACTTATGTTTGTGAATAAAACTCAGATGGAAACCAAAGTAAAAAAACCAAGGTGAGATTGAACATACATCTCCTCTGTGCAAATACCTACAATTTGTAGCTATCACAGATGTTGTGAACAAATTACTATTAACAATGTTTACTGTATGTTCTGATGTTTAAATCCATTTTACAAAAAAATGAAAGCCCTTCTACACCTAATCTAGGGCATGTGTCACCAAACTATGGCCTGCAAGATCAGTTCATCTGGCCCACCGCTGCTCTAAACCACTAATGAGCTAAATCATAGTTATTTATATAGAAATATCATAGATTATAGACGAACTTACTATGTAGAAAAAATTAAAATAAGTGTAAGTAAAAATGCCAAAATTGGTCCAATCTGATGTTTGCATTTGACAGTAATATAATTTCAATTTAGGAAAATCAGTGAAATGAAAAATTTGGCTACTTTTTGCAACTTTGGCTATCAGAGTGCTTTTTGTGTAAGTACCTGCAATGAAGTTTCTAATAAAAGCAATTATGAGCTTGCTGAAGCCATCGTGTTTGCTTATTGGTAAATAAATATGTTGGGTTTTTTTTTATTTTTTGTGTATTTAGTATACTGTATTGAACAAAATGGTTATGCAGCTTGCACTTGTCATTGTCTGTTATCTGGATGGCTGTAAAAAAAGTTTGGTGACCCCTGATCTAGGGTTTATTACACTCACTACAATTTTAAGCCCACTCCTGTACAAAAAGATGTTTCCATTTCTGATCCTATCTCTGTATGTTTAAAATTAGTTCAGTTTTGCATAGGAAGATTCAGGTTATCACTGATTTTGGATTTTAATGTTTAACATATACTGTAGAAATAGTATGCAATAAAATCACTCAAGTCCTGTACTACCAGGAGACCAGAAATATTATGCTTTTCCATTCCTTAGAATCCTAGAAGTAACCTTATTGACGAGACTATGTCTTGTCTCTAAAATCGTGCTGCTGCCAACAGCTGCACACCTTAGAGGTATGAAGGAGTACATGTCAGGAGTTGTAATTTGGCACAGAGTATTTGGTGCCCAAATATTCTGTGCCAAAAATAAACCAGACTTGTAGATAGTCAGGGGACCGAGAACCAGGTCAAAAGAAAATATGAAATGCTGAGACTGTTTCTACAAACAGGCACTAGTGCAAAGATTTGCGCATGTGTTGCTCGCACTCTCTGAGACATACTTTCATCCCAAAAATGGATTCGCCATTTTACTTGTTATGTAATACTTTTTTATGTTTACAATACTTTAATTTGTAGTCTTAAAATGGTCCATAAAGGTAATTTTTCCCATTCCACAAAATATCACTGTAGAGGGATTTGACTGTATATTAAACTTCATCCACTGTCATAAATGCACTTATTAATTCAGCAGAGTAACCACAGCACTAATTCATCCAAATAAAAACTTAAAGTTATAGAATTACTTATGTAAAATATTACCAGTTCTTGTTGTTTTTCTTCTTCTGTTTTATTTACAACTTCAGGTGAGGGAACAATTACTTGTGGAGAGGATTCTTTTTCTTCTTTTATACTTTCGGTTTCGTCTTCGCTTTCACTCTCCTACATTATAATTCAAAACAATCAAATAAAGCTTATGCTTTCTCATAACACTGAAACAAAATAATTTATCTCATAAAAAATAAAAAAAACATACAAATTTACTCTTAATGGGTGTTTCATCAACCGAAGATAGAGATTTGTCATCTCCACTAATTTTTTCTTGAGAAGAATCCACAGTTTTAAATCTTTCTATTTGTTCCTTATCTGCTTTTTCTTTTTCAAGTTTTCTTTGTCTTTCACGTTCCATTTTCTCTAATCCTTCTCTAATCCAAGCTGGCAATTGTTTTCTTTTCACAGCATCTGAATTTAAATACATACATATTTAATTGATGCATGTTAAAATATTAAACTTAGGGTACCAATGTTTAACAAAATTTTTTTATTATATCTTGTATAAACAACCAAGCTCAAACTTTAAAATAATCAAATCACTAAACACCAGATTGGCCAGTAAATAGTGATATGAAATATAACTAAACTATTGTTTCTATAAAGGACATTTAATTAAGAGGCTGTGTTTGCAGGATGTAGAAAAGTTAGGAAACAAACTGTAAAAAAAAAATACTGGCATTATTAAAATAAGGATGATTTCAATGGGAGAATAGAAACAAAACAGTCAAGAAGATATACATTAGACTTTACTATGGCATTACCTTTCTTTGTATTCTGCAGAAATAGTATTGTTTGTGCCATTGCATTCCCAAAAACAAGTGAAAATACTAATAATATGTTATATTAATAGTGCCAGAAAATTAAATCTTTAAGAAGAATCAATCATTATCAAGCAACGATAATTGAATATAAACACTGCCTAGGTTGTACAAGATGCTTATATCCAAAAGTCAGCTTTCAGATAAGATGAAAAGACTGTTTTAATTAATTAAAACCCCTTAAGCCCATAACCCGAGATATCTCAGGCAAGTTACATAGCATTGCAAAAAATGCGGGCTTTTGAGCCCCCCAAATTTTTTTTTAATTTTTGGAATGTTTTTTAGGTCCCCAAATTTTTTCAAAATTTTTGCCTGCGCGAAAAAATTTCACCGCAATTTAAAAAACCGTTAATGATGCGCTCTTCACGCTTTATTGCTTTTTAATTGTTTTTTACTGGGAGTTTGATATCAAATTTCATTCATTGTTCTAAAGTTGTAGTGCACCGATTTTCCTTCGGTAAAGTTATTTAAAGCTAGTTTCTGATGTCAAAAACAACCACCAATAGTTTTTAATTTTTTTGATTAATAGATTTTATCATATATAAGTTTAATTAAGCCAGGGGGTCAAAAATTGCAATAAAAATTTTAATTTTTTAAAAATATTAAAAAATATATGGCCAACTAGTAGTCACCCTACTATAAACCCATCGCATCCCGAGACTTCTACGAGAATGTCCCCGGGAAATCCGACTCCAGCTGTTGTCAAGGTCATCCAGCTGTGTAAACAATGACTCATCGGTGTTAAATTTCGCAGAAAGACAAGACAAAGGAAAATAAAATTTGAAGCTTTTTCTTCAAAATAAACGCATTTCTTTCGTTTTTTTTCAGTTTTAAGTATTTTTTACGTTTAATTAAATTAATGATTATAAAATATCAAAAATGTCAATGTCCTTAAGGGGTTAATCAGCAAAACTAACAATATGTTTTATGAATTTAGTTACATCTGTATTTCTCACATTTATATTTATAATTTTCAAACCACTACAAATATAAAATGTAATAAAATCTTAATTTATATTATTTAAATTATCATAATAAAATATTCATTTTTATTAAATTAAACACAAAATATGTATTTCAAATAATTTACTTTTAATATAATCATTAAAGCAACCATTAATAAATTGAAAATTTGTAAATTAAATTTTAAGAAATTCTCACCGAGCTGGGGTATTTCTTCCTCACTTCGAGGAGAGTGTTCTCCAGGAGGAGCGATCTTGTTTCTTTTCAAAAACGGAGCCGACACGATATTGGTGTTTGGTCCGACCTGAGGCCAATACTGTTCGTACTGATTATCATTTGTAAACATCTAAAAATTATAAAAATTCTTGAAATTTAACATTAATTCAGGAACAAAAAAGAAACTAAATTAATAATTCATTTTTACACAAAATTGATTTGTATGATAATCCAAATAATTTCTTATTTAACTCTGTTAGTTTAATCTCTCAACCGTTTTGGCCGAAACTGTCACATACTTCTGTAATATTTTGCTTTTATAATGCTTTTAGTGATAAAGAAAAGGGTTACTATCATCTTCAAGGATTAAACAATTTTGCATGTGTCCAGCTTCATCAAACTCCCCATCTTCTATGTCCTATGTAGCTTATCTATAGTTTTCTTTTATATTCTGTAATTTTATTATGTATTGCTTGCATATACAACTTACTTCTTATTTTATTTAGAGCAGTGCATTCTTTGCTAGATCTTTGAGTCTGTCTAAAAATTTGTTCCTATGCACAGCCATATGGTTGCACTAAAACAAATCTGGAAGCAACTTACATTTCCATCTAAAAGTAATTTGTGCTATTCTGTTATTACAAACATACACTCCAAAAAAGTCCAATAAGAAAACTGCATTGCAAGCATAACATAAACCTGAAGATTTTGTCAATTACACCAAATTTTATTATATCAAATGAGAAATCCCAATTTGAATTTATTTGAAAAATTATAAAATAATTTATTAATAAATGATCAAAAGTTTAAGAACTTTAAAGTGGATTTGTCTTCTGTAACTCTCTAAAACTGAGAAAGAATAAACACACACAATCAAACCAAAACCAGAAACTATGTAATTAATAAATAAAGAAATATTTACTAACAATTTCATCTATTTAAAATAGATATCATCAGATATGTAACACAGAACAAAACAGCTACATTAAAATTAATTAAATCAATTAAATGTGTTATATGAAGAATTTACAAGTTCAAATTAAAATCGTCAATGGAACAAAGTACACTTACAATTTAAAATTACATATGTTACTAAATGTTTTAAAATTACTGTATTTACTTGCTTATAAGACGATCTTGCATATTGGACGAGATGTGACTTTAAAGGTCAAAATAAAGAAAATTAGATTTATTAGTACAATTTAATTTTATTTTGTTTAATCACAAATAAAATGTCAAATGCACGTAAACGCACACATCGTCCCGCAAAAATTACTGGCATTTTAAACTTTAAGGAAAAACCTTGTAAAATCGACAACATAATTTGTTCACGTAAAGTTGGACAATCCGGAACAATTTTTGCCAATTCTTAACAGTCGAATCCAATCTCCATTGATTACACTTACGAGTTTCTCCGAATTCTGATTTCCGAATAATCATCTGTTTTCATGTAGGAATGGATTAAAACATATTGGGCTCCCAAGCAATTTTGGAATTTCAAATCCAAAATCAATTCAAAAGCTTTGCATTTCCTATTGCTATTCATCTTTACTCCTGATAATACACAAGAATCTTTCAAACAACCCAGATAAAATACTTTTGTTTTTTAAACACCAGAGGGTGAGCATCCAGTAGAAAACATGAACACACGGTTCAAAAAAACTATTGCAAAAACGCAAAGAATCCTTTGCTCGCGTGTATAAGACAACCTAAGTTTTTGAAGCAATGAAAAATGAATAAAAACCTCATCTTATATGTGAGTAAATGAGTTATATCCCAAACAAAATATATATAAATATTATTCAAAAATAGAGAATAATTTATAAAGTGTGTTTAAATAGTTTCCCATTAACATTACATATTTAGATTAAAATGAATCCTGTAATAACAAATTAATTTCTGAATAATTATATTTAATTAATAATTATATAATTATTAATTAAAAGTCAAGTAATTTGGCCTACAGGTAGGAAATAGACACCAGCTCTTGATAAATGTAATAATTATAATTAAACTAATATTTAATAATTAATTCAGATAATTCTGGAAGAAAAGAATCAGCCCAAAGAGAGACTTGAGCCCACAACTCCCACTTGCTGTGTACATGCATTGCTGGTTACAGTATCTGGACTGGACCTCCATCCAATGTTTGTTTCCAGAACTATTAATTTAGATATAAACCATACTGATTATACAAGAGTTGAGGGTTCGACTTCCACTTCAGACCAATTCTTTTCTTCTAGAACCTTCTAAATTGATTATTAAATTTATCACGCGATGGCATCTAACACCTATCTCTTGGCCAAATTACTTAACTTTTAATTAATAATTATATGCATTATTATAACCAGATGTAATCCAGCAATCGTCTGACAATAAACTAAAAATCAGGTTATTGAATGTTTATATTTGTATATTGTTTATATAGTTATTCTAATGTTTTGGATACCTATTTATTGAAGCTTATATGGAAACAAACATTGCTTTGTTGAAATAATTTTCCCAAAACATTAAAATGTCTTTAAAATCATTTTATTTTTTAGTATAGTATTTAAAATGTCCACTCAGACTTATTTTATTAACAGGACGTATTATATCGACGTCTTTGTTCAGCAAAAGTTAAGAAAGCCTATCAGAGAAAACAAACACAGTCTGTTTTCTCTGGTGAAAAATAGGCTGATATGTTTTCTGATAGGCTTTCTTAACTTTTGCTGAACAAAGACATCGATATAATACATCCTGTTAATAAGTCTGAGTAGACATTTTAAATACTATACTATAAGATAAGGACATAGAGGCATATGACTTAATACATTTTATTTTTTGTTGTGTTACAAAATGTTTACATAATTAAATGTGACAGGGTATCTTGTTTTTGTTGAAGTATTATGCTTATTCAAGAGATATGAAGTGCTACTAGATCTGTTCAACATCTACTTATTAATGGAATATATTATTATTCGTGTCATAAACATTTTCAAGCCAATATCTGTTTAAAGTAAGTTTAATGCATTTTACACTTAGTTTATGATGTTTTAGCTTAAATAGTAATTAATAGCATCTGACCCCAACATATCAACCAATAAATACTTGCAACTAACTTACAATTGCAAGTGTTTCTAAAACTTCATCCACAATCTATATAAATAAAAATGTAAATGTTCGTTTGTTCAAAACCTTAAATCTCTGAAAGTTCTTCACCGATTGTTTTGAAATTTTGACCCAACATTGCATTCGAATACATGAGTTTTTATATACCTACTATTATATAGATGTCAAATTCACCCCATGGGGGAGAGGGATATGATTAAGGCTTACCGTGAAGAACTCAGCTTCTATTATACTATTTTAGATGCAGTTTTTTGCGTTTTAATAGGGTAAGTCAAGAGAATGTATACTAAAAAGGTTTTTTTCAAAATTTCCCTCACGGGAGACGTGTTAATAATGGAAGTGTTAGGATAAAGTGATGTGCAAGATTTACAGGCGCAGATGCGGTTTTTTGCGGAAAATCGAACATATTTTTAGATCCATCTAAAAATTTTCTAATTAGTTGGAAACAGGGGGAACTAATTCTTGCATTCTGTGAGAATGGGTAAGATTGACTATAATGTAATAATCTTAATCTTCGCTATTGTTAAATTTTTTGCCCAAGCAATGCCAGGCTTATCTGCTAGTATAAAATATAATAATTTGTGTAATATACATATACATAAAAACTAACTATCCTCACCAGGAACAGTATTCTTATCTCTAAAACAAACTCAATAAAATTCTATTAAATAAAAATTCTGAATACCATACTTAATTTTGAGTACCAAATACCAGCTGCCCAAATTTCATTATATCTTGGTTATTCAAAATTAACTTTTTGAACATTTAATCAAATTAATTGTTTTAATCTAATAATAAATTACATAATATAAGTACACTTACTTGATTATAAGAATATTGATCAGACGTATGATTATAATCATAAGTTTGGGGAGGAATTGTTGGTGTAGAAGCCATGTGACCATATTCAAAAGTTTCCTTTCCAGGGGTAGAATTCTGAATTGTTCCAGGTGGTGGTACCCATCCTCCCATCCCCCAAGATCCTTCCCAATATCCCCCCATCATATCTCCTTGAACAAAATTTGGATCTAGGAAAAAATATTTTAATATCAAATGTAATTACAAAAGCAAAATTTTATTCAATCAATATTTAAACTACAGAGACAACATGAAAGTTTCTTACAGGCTGTTTAATATATAAACAAACAAACAGCCAGATTTCTTTATTGTGCAATTAAAGCGAAATGATCATTAAGTAAATTAAAGCAAAACAACTACTGAGATTAATTAAATTATCAATAAAGGTATCTGGCTATTTGTTTCTTAAATTTTTTAAACTTGAGCACTTTATACAATAAATACAACCAACCTGATGATTACTTCAAATATGAAACAATATTTGAAGTAATCATCAGGTTGGTTGTATTTATTGTATAAAGTGCTTAAGTTCAAAAAACAAAATAATAATAATGTTCAATTCTTAAACTTTTCTCTATTACTGAATCATTCCAACAATTTTATAATTTAAACTCATTTCTGCTTAAATGGAGTATTTTGACATGAAAGATCTCTTCATTTAGTACTTTCAAACTACTTGGTTCATCTTCAGAGCAATCATTTCTAACACCTTTTCTCACGTAAAAAAGATTCGTAATGCGATCCAAGTTTTAAAAATTTATTTTTAAAGGCTAGTTTGGGAGAAATAACATTTTCAAATAATAAAAACTGATATATTTCAGTAAGAGTTAATAAGATAAGTGTCAAAGTATTAACAGAAGTTACTTAAAAACTTCAATATCAAAAAATATGAACACAGAAAGCTCCAAAAAACTTTGGGTTCTGAGAAAATCTATTAAAAATTCTCTTAAACTCTAGAAGCAAACATGTTAGATACTTTACTGATTTTCTTACAAAAATTTATAATATAGGCTAGATTCCAGCAGACTTATAAATCCAATATTCATAACACTTGAAAGAAAGAAAACAAAAATAATAGCCAATGATTGCAATGATTATAGACAAGTTTGAAGAATTATATAAACACAGCACCTTTAAAAAGAACTAGAAACAAAATTGATATTGTAAACATTCAAATGGGATTTCAAAAAAATAAGAGAATTAAAGCAGACATCTTTGATGCAAACAGAATCATAAAGAAATTTAAAATTAAAAAGAAATTTATTTGTACTTCTTATAAACTGTTTTTGACGTCATAGGTCAACAAACACTTTTCGTTTATACTAGAAAGGAAAAGGACAATAGCAGCTCTAATGCCCTTAGATTAATTGAAAACTTATATAAAAACTAACAGTAAGTTTCATAAGAAACAAGAAATTAATCAACCTTTCCATATTGGAATGAGAGTTGGGCAAAATTGCCTTATATTACTCCTGTTATTCAATTTGTACAATGAAGATATATTTAAAAATCTGATAAATACAAAAAATATAATAAGAATCATCATCATCTGAATATCTGAAATTAGTTACATGTAAATTAAATTAATGAAATTAGTTACATGTAGTTACATGTTTTTCTCATAGGAAAAAACTAGAGAAAAAAATTACAAAAACTTTTAAATGAATATTAAAAGTCTAATCTCTCCAAATCTTTATAATCTACCTTTTTCTGCTTTCTTGGAGACCATCAGAGTATCTTCTCTAAACCCAAGTACTTTCAGGTCTCTCAGCCCATCATCAGGGGTAAAGATTGCTGTAAAAAGTTGTAATATTGAATTTATCAGCAACTGTTTTTAAAATTCATATTGCCTTTAAGCCAGCAGAACATTAAAATTAAAAATTAACAAATATTTGTAGTTGCAATTTATCAGCCATCCTCAGGTTCAAATACAGGAATAAAACAAACAGTTTTATTCTAAACATTCAACTTTCATAATTATATGCACTTTTTAAAATTTATGTCATTGTCTTGGAACAATATAAATTTTAAAAAAAGAGATAAAAGCATTCCAACATAATCTGAAATTAAATAATATAACCTTTGCTCATTGGCAAAAACCATGTATCTTTTGTATAAAGAATAAAGAATAATAATTATCATTGAACAGTCAATTTATTTACACATCTTTGTCAGCTTACAATGAATAATAGAAAAATTGCAAAGGTTAAGGAAAGTTTCCTGAAAAACAAAACTCTGTAGTTCTGGGGAAATTAAAATGCAAATCAGGTTAAGATTAATAAAATTCTTTAACATGATCAACAGCTCTGTATGACATGGAAACTTAAATCATTATCAAAAATATGGCAACCAAACTCAATTTGTGATAAGGCTAACTAGGAGGTTGCCAAAGATTTATTCTAATTCAAAATGATCTGCCATATTATTGAGCTGTAATAATGCTACTTTTAATAATTAGATGTAAAGTAATTTGATTAGAGGTAGATCTTATGACAATTTTAATAATTACAATAAATAATTTTTAATTATTAATTTAATCTAAAGTTTCTGGAAGAAAAGAACTGGCATAGAGCAAGACTCAAACCTGCAAACCCATTTATAGTGCAGAAGCATACACAGTGCCGAAATAAAAGCAATAGTGTACCAAGAACCAAGGAAGGCCACGGACACTAGTCATTCCAGTTGGCACCACGAATGACCGGTATGGTTATATTTAAATTAACAGTTCTGGTAGCAAATGCATCTGCACAGTATGCAGGATTACAGATTCAAGCCCCCCCTGAACAAACTCTTTTCTTCCATTAATTTTAAATTAAATAAATAATTAAAAATTAATTTATTATAATTATTAAAATTGTTATGAAATGGAAGCCTAACAGCCTACCTCAAATTACTTTATAACTAACTATTAAAAATAGAGTTTATGAATTTATTATTTATATACACCAAATGATTGCTGGATTACATTGGGCTATAATAATGCTTCTAATTATTAATTAAAAGTCAAGTAATTTGGCCTACAGGTAGGAAATAGACACCAGCTCTTGATAAATGTAATAATTATAATTAAACTAATATTTAATAATTAATTTAGATAATTCTGGAAGAAAAGAATCAGCCCAAAGAGAGACTTGAGCCCACAACTCCCACTTGCTGTGTACATGCATTGCTGGTTACAGTATCTGGACTGGACCTCCATCCAATGTTTGTTTCCAGAACTATTAATTTAGATATAAACCATACTGATTATACAAGAGTTGAGGGTTCGACTTCCACTTCAGACCAATTCTTTTCTTCTAGAACCTTCTAAATTGATTATTAAATTTATCACGCGATGGCATCTAACACCTATCTCTTGGCCAAATTACTTAACTTTTAATTAATAATTATATGCATTATTATAACCAGATGTAATCCAGCAATCGTCTGACAATAAACTAAAAATCAGGTTATTGAATGTTTATATTCGTATATTGTTTATATAGTTATTCTAACGTTTTGGATACCTATTTATTGAAGCTTATATGGAAACAAACATTGCTTTGTTGAAACAATGATTTTAATGTCTTTGTTGATATGTATACAGCTTAACAGTAATGTTAACTTAAAAGTGATAATATTGACACCAGAATTAATTGTATTATCTTGCAATATGATATCTGCCAACCTACTATCTTAAGTATCCCAGAAGACAGCACTAACTGTAGGAAATACTCTTCTCTAACTGCATGTACAAGTAAAGTAAGTGGAAACAATTTTGAGTGGAAAAAGGCTGGCCTTTTTCCACTCAAAATTGTTCCTGTGCAATTTGTTCTCAACAGTAACCTTGTGCTAATTCCAAAGGAAATACAAATAATCAAGAAAACAGCGATAACCAAATTCTAAATAAATAAACCTTAAAAATCTTTAAATGCAGTCTTTTTATTACAGCATCTAACATTTTCAGTCAGTTAATTCGCCTTCTTCAGGAAAGAATTGAAAAACTTCTGATTTTTTACAGAACAAAATTGATTATGGAACATTTTTAAGCTTTAAAACTTTCTTAACATCTAGTGTGCAAGTCTGTGAATAGATAATTAAAATACACGAACTGATAATGTATAAACATATGAATACACTAACCATAAAAACAAAATAAAATCAATTAAATAAACAATCAAGTGATAACATAATGGGCAACGATTGTGCGTATTTCTTTACTGTCCATGCCTTTTTTCTTGCTGATATATTCATATTGCACATGCTCTCCATACCACTGAGACATTATAGGATTCTCTAAAGTTTATAGCTTGTCCTGCTTGATTGCTTTTGTATATATGCCATGCTTCTACATATTTAAGGTGTCTCCTGACCTAAATCTTTTGTATTATTTCTGCTTTTTCCCATTCCAGAAACCTCTGTCAGGTTTGCTATAACATATGCCACTAGTGCAGTGACTGGCTGCTCATTCTTTACGTTCCTTTTATGCTCTTTTATTCTTTCTTTTAATGACCTCCTTGAAGCTCCAATGTAGTATAGCTCTTTTTGCTACCTCCTGTCTCATACGAGTATTCTATAAATTCCAGGAATAAGGCTCTTGTCTATAGCTTCCTTGTCCATACATAGCATCTGATATATTGTTGGATTCCTTTTAAAGTTTCTTTTTGTTAGTAGCTGTTCCTATTTCTTTGTAAATATTGCTTAAGGGTGTCATGTATTCCATCATCGTGTATTCTTCTATTCTTCCCCATTCATTACCTTCATATTCGTCTTTTCTTCTTTTATTAATTAAGGCCTTTACCGTATTCTGATTGACTCAGAATCACCATGCTAATCTTTGATATGATTTAATTCTTTACATCTGCCACTCCTCTATATTGCCACTCCTCTATGTTGAGTATATGTTATATCGTTAAAATTAAAGACAGGTGAATATGTAGCTAGATGTGCCAATTCCAGTATATGCTTTCTTAGCTTTTCTGCATTTCCAATCTTGTTCAATAAGAAGTCTTGCAGATGGCAAAAACATGGCTCTAGTTTGATTGAGGAGTATAAAGCCTTAAAGTATGATACTGTCATATAACCTCCTTATTTTAATTTCAAATTTTTCATTTTTTGGAGCAACTCTAGCAGCTGTTTTATGCTGTATTCATGTGGAGACATGTGTGCATTAATAAAACCTTTGAATAACCATTCTAGGATTATCATAGGTGAGCAGCATTTATTAACTACCGGCCTTATGCTTCTTTTTGGTTTATGTGTATCGGCAAACCCGAACAGTCTTGAAGCTGATAGGGAGGGGACTACTATCTTCTTCGTTCAGAGCTCTTTTGCAAGGGTCGTGTTAGAAAAACACTTGACTCTTGCTTGCAACTGCTCTAGACCCTTGGGTGTGCAGTCTTGCATTGTGTTTCTTTTATGTATCTTATAAAAGCTCATTATATGTAGATCTTTTCATTAGCACCATGTCCTTCAACTTGTCGATTCTTGTAAGCAATATATTATTTTCATTCGTCCACTTTTGGCTTTCTCTTATAGTTTTTCCATATTGGGCTATTTTTCCATATTGGGTTGGATCTCAACACTACATTTTTGATTGTGTGATGACAAAAATAGAAAGAACTGAACTGCGACTACTCTTGCAGGAATCGAACATAGCTTGGCCGTGCCACCTCTCAAACATCTGGACCAACAAAGAGATATTCTCTGCCTTTAAAAGACTTGCAAAAAAGATCAATCAGATCACAAGCCAACTAATCTACTGCTGACACTGACTTTGACTTAAAGACTGTCTACTTATAGTGTTAGCTTTGTAATTACTATTTCACACGCGAATACGTTGTTACACGCAAATTTTATTTAATTATAAGTTTTGTGCATTTTATCCATAATTACGAGGTTCTGTATGGAATCTATCAATACATTGTATCTACTGCCGTTTGCTAACATTATTCTGTATTAATTTTTCTGTACGTAGTCCTGTGGAACTGATGTCATGTGAGTACTTAGTCTTATTTAGATGTAATATTACTTAATTTTATCTCATTGATTTTGTGGATTTTATCAATTATCTTGCAGTTCTGCATGGTATCTACAATGTACTCTTGCTGCTTACATATATCAACATGTATTATCTTATCCTGTATGTAATTTATGGACTTTGTCTTCTATATGCAGTTCTGCATGGAATCTACAATGTACTCACTGCTGTTCGCTTATGTTTTTTCTGTATTCATTTTCTTCTATTCGTAATTTTGTGGATTTGATGTCGCGCGAATACTTTGTTTTACTAAAGTATAGTATAATTTAATTTTATTTAATTATAATTTTATGGATTTTATCCATTAACTTAAATGGAACCTACAATGTGCATACTGTTGTTTGTTTACATTTCCTCTATTTTATTTCCTTGGTAGTGCTCATAGCGGAGCCAAGGTATGCATTTATGCCTCCGTAAATAAATTGAATTGAACTGAAATTGAATTGGCCTGCGGCTTGTTCTTGTATATTTGTCCTTTATTTTGTTACAGTATACAATTGAGGAGGTAGCCTGTGGTTTTATGCTACTCTGTTGCTGGTTTCTTATCCATTTCATTTTCTTCTTATAATTCTTACACATTGTTTCTGTCACTTGATTTGATAAGTTTACCACCCTGTTATTAACATCTAGTAAATTTGGATCTATTTCATACAGCTTGTTTTCTAATTCAACCAGTTTTTTCAGAAAATAATATTTTCTGTGGCATAATATATAAGCTAAGTATAAAATATTAAATTAATTAAAATATTTCATACTTTGCTCATATTCTTATTTAAAATAAAATAGGGCAATTAAATTACTAGTATATAAAACTACTGCAACTACTTGGCTTCAAAATGATTTTCCTAGTCTATACTAATATTATAAAGAGGTAACATTTGTCAGTTCGGATGTAGGGGTAATCTCCGAAACTACTCGTCCGATTTCAAAAATTCTTTCACCAATATTTAGAATGGACCTTCGGGGTGGACATAGGCTGTATATTATTCCGTTAAACATTCATATAGATTAAAAGATATTATCTAGGGTTAAGGCTTTTATGTCCAACAGATGGCGCTACGAGTATGACAAGCTAAGTTTACTTTCTGTGAGGATGAACTAAAGCGGATCATCTTCTATCTATCTATATAAATAAAAATGTAATGTTTGTTTGTTCCTACCGATTCCTTTGAAATTTTGACACAATGCTCCATTTGAATACGCACGTGTTTTTATATAATATACATGTCGAAATTCCACCACTGGGGGGAGATGGACAGGATTAAGGCTTACTGTAAAGAACTCTGCTTCTATTTATACTATTTTAGATGTGGGTTTTTTGCATTTTTGATTGCGTTTTAATAGGGTACATCAAGAGAACGTACACTAAGAAAGGATTTTTCGAAAAATTCCTCCCCACGGGGGAAGTGTTATACATTTATAATAGATACATTTTGAGCCACAACAACACGTAGCGGGGTCTGTTAGTTTCTTATAAAGAACTCAAGAGTAAGTGTAGATACATTCTCAAGCTAAAGGAAAGGAACATTTAAGAATTTTACATAGAAAGCCAGTTAATCTTTAGGTATAATACTCAATGATCATCAATACAACATTTATAAAAACAAAAATATAAATGTGCTTAAACAGTCTTTCTCACTGAAACAAAAATTAATTTAAATGCAAACAAATAATTGAAAAATTGAACTAACTAAGAATGTAATATTATAAGATAAAAGACAAACATGTATATGTAAAAAGTATGTAAATAGATATTCAATTTTAAATATCACAAAAACAATAAATGTAAAGTAAGTTGCTATTTTAAATTTCTTCAGAGTAATTAGGGAAAAAAAAACAAACTGAAAAAAGTCCTATAGTGAGTAATTTCTAAAAAAAGTTAAGAAGCATCATGCTGGAATAAGAAATATTTCAATTTAAAAAATTTTAAAATACAGGCAGTTCCTGAAGTCAATTAACTGAGATAAAATATTTCAAGATTATTTAAGAATATATAAAATTAACTTGAAAGAGCTACAAACTATTATTCATAATTCAGTTGCTTCTAATGAAACAACTGAATTACAAATAACAACATGCAATTATCTTATCTGCTTTTAAAGTAATTTTAAAATGTATCTTGGTTAACTGACTTTTTGGCCACCTTATATACTTTTAAATAGACTTACTCGCTCCCGGAGGAGCAACTGGACCCGAATCTTCGTTTCCTTCGACGGCCGGTATCGGTGCGTGACCGGGTGGCGGCAAGTGAACCAGAGGTAGTTCACAACTTTGAGATTCAGGATTACCATTTTGAGGATTTTCTAATAATGGCGGAGGAGGCGGCGGTGGAGGAGGAGGAGCCACAGGTGGTTCATTTTGATTTCTCTGCTGCATTTGAATCCATTGCTTTGCTAGAGCTGCCCAATCAACTATAATAATAAAAATAAACATTAAATATTTTTAAATTATTTATTTGCATTAACCTGTCCCATGTTGTTCCCGAGTATTTTCGTGTCGAACTCATTTGACTTAACCCGTTGACCCCGAATATACTCGTTTCTGCATCGGAAAATTTTTGATATTAGATGTTGCTACGCATCATAATTTTTATATTAAAACAAACTTTTGAAATCAAATTTTTTGTTTTTATATTTTTCAATATATTTATTTTGTTTGTGCAAAATAAAAAAATAATTTGTAACGATACAGTGGCCACAATTATTATTTAAAAAAAAATTTTTCGTTGGGCTTAACATCGACAANAACATTTTTGATACTAGATGTTGCTATGCGTCATAATTTTTATATTAAAACAAACTTTTGAAATATAATTTTTTGTTTTTATATTTTTCAATATATTTATTTGTTTGTGCAAAATAAAAAAATAACTTGTAACGATACATTGGCCACGATTATTATTTAAAAAAAAAAATTTTGTTAGGCTTAACATCGACAAAAATTCAATACGGCAGCCATACGCAATGGAGAAAAATTTCAACACGGGATAGGTTAATACAGTAGCATGTATATACAGTATTAAACAAACACTTACTTTGTTCATGTGGAACATTTTGGTAAGTAGCTGGTTGTAATGCCCACTGATTCCAAGCTGCTCCTGCCCACATAATTTTCCAAAATTCTTAATACTATCTAAAAAATAAATTATACAAAAATAAAATTAATTGTACTATACTTAAATCTTTTTTTATTATTAAAATTACATAATCAGGTAAATTATAATAATAAACACTTTGCTAAATCAATCTGGAACAGTTTTTAATTGTTTCAAATCCAGAAACTATTACAAGAAATCAAAATATTTCAAACAAAACAGGAATATATCACAGACAATCAGCTACAGAGTATCAATTCTGAATACACGATAAATAAGCTACAAAAAGATATTTGTCAAAAGTTTAGCTAGATCTAAAAGATTATTAGTAGAATAACTGGAGAGAATACAAAACATTTAAAAGTAACTGAATATTTATAGTTAGAAGTTGACTTTTTAATTTTACAAATGAAAGTTAAAAAAACAGCTTACTTAAATCATAGCAAATCAAATTTATTTTAGTAAAAATATTTCTAAGATTCTACAAGTCTTGATCAGAAAATATTGATGTAAGGACGCTATTCATAAAAAAAAAAATTCCAAAACTGCTTCTTTTGACCTTAAAAAGCTGCCATTTATGCCAACTGTAGAACAAGTTTATGCTTGTTCTGTAATTTTGTTACTACTTCCTTGAATCTCAAAAAATTTTCCTTTTAATGCTTGCTTCATTATTACTGATAAATCTGCAATCTACTTTAAGTTGTTTGGCCCTTATATAACTTTGCCTTATTTTTGGTTAACAAATAGATGACTGTGTATAAAGCAACAATTAAACATATTCACAATCTTTTAACATACCACAATTGAAAGGCATAAAATATCATACTGGACTGCACTCTTTTTTTATGGACAAAATAGAATAATTATGGCTATTTAATATAATTTTATCTTCATTGCTTAAAAACAATTTTTTCTTGATTTTTAGGCATGTTGCAATTCTGCAACACGTGGCCTGAATGGTTTTCTTCTAATCATGTTATGCCATCTTGTATTCTCACCAGTTTTAAATTCAACAGAACATCTACCACATAAATGCAGAACTTCTAGATTGCATAAATGAACAGATACAAATCGAAAATAAAATAGAATAATCACTAAAATTATATACCTACTATTTTTGTGTTTTTTTACTGTTTTTATTCCCTAAAAGAAAATAATGATTCTTTCTCAAATATTTGTTTTTGTGCTTTATATTTTTATAATATTGTACTTAATCATGTTCATTGTGCAAAAAGAACATTGGAAAAGGCAAATTTTGTGTATTTTTCAGATTTCATAGGGAAAATGTTAAATTTCTACTGGCATTCTATCATGAAAAAATTTACTGGGCCAAGTGCAATTTCCATTTCCACAGGCCATGCTCTAATTGTTTCCATTATGTTTTTATGGCTGGAGTGTTGTTCCGAATAACACAGTACAGAATTACTACTTACATAGTTTTCTCCACAAATTTCGCAGAGTGGTCTCCTTTACACCATTCTACACCAAAGCGGCAGTGTAAATAGCGTCCTTTATGTTGAATTGTTCCCGAAATTCAACAACTCCGCAATCATTGTTTACCAACTTCCAAAGAAAATACCCCTGTATGTCACTTTAAAATTCTGTATGATGCCCTGATCTATAAATTGTATCAAAGACGTCATATTTGCCGGAAAGTACATTGCAGAAATGTTTCTGCAAATAAGCTTGGAAGCTGGAGGATGAGCATGATAGTTATCAAGCAGGAGAATAACTTTGCTGTCTTCTGATAGCCCTCCTTATTAAAATTTTTTTCTAACAGCAGGAACAAAGTGATGGAAGAACCAATTCTTTAAGATAGCTGCTGACATCCAACTGTTAGTTTGTGCATCATATGTAACTGGTAGATTTGTCGTTTTTAAAAGCCCTTGGTTTCTTTGATTTTCTGATCATAAGCATCGGCATCTTATGTGTTCCAGAAGCAGTTGCACACACAAGCACAGTGATAGAATCTTTGTTCATTTTGAACCCACAAGCAACCTTTTCATTGCCACCAACCAGCATAGAATTTGGCAAACACTGTCACAATGTAAGGAACGTCCAAACGTTATTTTTATTTACTTTTATTTTGCTTATTATTTTATTTTTGTTTGGGGCTTATGTTTTGTTAGGACGAAGTTTCCTCACCATTCACCTTAATAACTTAAAAATAGAAGAAAAACCAACTCACCAACGAAAGAAAAGCGCCATAGAAAAACTCGCGCACACTTGCGCTTCCCAAGCGGAAAAAAGTAAGTCCGCACCGAGAAAAAGGGGGGGAAGACCCCACAACCCAGTTAGGAATCGCTAAACCTTAAAAGAATAAAGCATCCCGATAATTGTTAAAAAGAATAATGTAAAAGGTTAGCGAAGTATTGTCGGAAAATAATCTGCCAGATAAACAAGAAAAATTTAATGTTACAGATAAGTATGTAAATGAGGAGAGTGAGCTCATTCAGAATTGTGACGTCACCTCACACTATAAAGCCTCTAACTCAAGTGAAAACGAACGAGGTGAATTCCTGATAGCAACGAGCTTTGGTGAGCTTCGTAGCAGTGAACGAGAGAGGTGTCCGATAGGATTTTGAAGTTATTCGATTTGTGGATCGACGATTATAGAAAGTCTTGAGAGTTTGAGGAAATAGGTTCCTAGTATATTGAGGTGACGATTAGGATCTTTAATTTATAAGAATTATTGTTTATAAGTTAATTCTTTGATTTTGTCGAATTCCAAAGGGGAATAGAATTAAGTTAGAAATAGATTGATTTGAGTTTGTCGGATTGATTCTTGTTGAATTTCATTGAATAAATTATTGTTTGATTTTTACTAAATACTGTATAGAGTTTATTAATAGAAGTTTAATTAAATATTTGATTTTGTTATTGACAAACTTTGTCATTATTTAATTCGGTGCACGCTTAAAGTCCAGGCCTGGCACACTAACGCGAATCCGCGTAAAGTACCCGTTAGGGAACGGCTATTTCCGGCACACAGTAGTGTCGATAATCGTTGGAAAGTCGGAAAAATAATATAGTACTTTACAACAAAAGTCTAGTTTCATCTGCATTGTAAAGTTGAGATGGTGACAAGCCATTTTCTTCCACTAAAGTCAAACATCTTGCTGTATTTAATATTTATCTTGTTTACTAGTTCCTTATCCATTAACAGGACTTATTATACTGGATTTATGGATGCAGAAATTTAGTCTTACAGATCAGAAATAATATATTTTATTTAGTTCACCTGTACACATACACTTTAAACTTGTATTTCGGACTTGTTTGTCCTTCATCAGCAGGCATTCAAAATACACTTTCTACAATTAACAAATTAAATTAAACATAAAAATTTTTCCCGACAATAAAAAAATAAAATTCTTACAAATTCAGTATTTTCAAACTCTTTCATAATTCCAAATATATTTGTAATCTACTACTAGTATACAAGATAAATATTAAATTAAGATATAGGACACAAAGATATAATAATTAATCTTGCTGTATTCTTCTGCAGCAGCACAATCTGCAGAAAGCTGTTTGCCACATACATCCAATTTTCAAATTCCGTGACTCTGTTTGAAATTGCATATCCATCCATCAAAAAACATACATGGTTCTGTGATGTTCAATTTTTTATGAAGTTTCTTGGCTTTTTTCAACAAGCATGAGTGTTCACTGGTTCTCCCAGTACAGGAGTATGGAAAAATACACAAACCTTCTCTGGAAACTTGTGGATAATGTCTGTTTGAATGTTTATCAAATAATTTATATAGTAAATTTTTATGTTTTAGTGTCTTGTAAATATAGGTCCAGTATGAAAAATTCTTTTAAATTGCCAAATCTGATATAATTAATATACACTTTTACCATCAAAGAGACCTAATTGCAAATGGTGGCATAATTTGAAACTATGATATTTTGTGTTAATAACATCCAAATTTAAGTATCTTCCATCATATATAGCAAGTGATGGAGGAATGAGTGAAGAAATCCAGCACAGAGTTCAGAGTGAATGGCTGAACTAGAGAAAGATGAGTGGGGTGCTGTGTAATAAGAAAATAAATGAAAGGAAAATTATACAAAACTATAGTAAGACCTGTAAAAATGTATAGTGCTGAGATGTGGGCAATTACAAGAGTGCAGGAAAAGATGGGAGACAGTAAAGTTGAGAATGCTAAGATGAATGTGTGTGGTGTGACAAAGGACAGAATTAGGAGTGATTACCTAAGAGAAACAGTCAAGGTGAGTTTCATAAGAAGGTACAGGAAAGTAGATTAAGATGGTTTGGACATGTGGAAAGAGGACTGGGAAGTTGGAAATGATGGGGTCCTGCGGGGAAGACCAAGGCTGAGATGGCGAGACAAGGTGGCAAAGGATTTGGAAGAGGGAATGCCCTGGATAGAGAGAAGTTTAGACAATTTAGAAAAATAAACAAAATGATTTTCGTATCAAACACCTTTTTAAATGTTTAAAAGATTGGAACAGTAATGTTCAAAAGATAGAACTGTTTTTTTATGTATTCAATCCTGATGAAGGCCTCTAAATGACGGCCGAAAACATTTGAGCAGCAAATTTGTGTTTATTATGTGCTGAAAATCGCATTTAGGTGTTGATTATTTAGTTATACAGTTCCAGTTTATAAGTGTGCTGTTTTTTGATCAAAAAATAAAAACAAATTAATGAATATTACTTGTGCATTCTTTATATTTGTATTATACACACACCACATATTACATCAGCATTTCACTGTAATAGTTGTCATATTCTTATTATCAGCAGCGCATCTTTATTTAAATTGTAAAAGAAATACTTAATACAATTTTTGAAAAATTGGAAGAACTACATGTCAAAGTTCAAAATACCCCAAAGACATTTACAGTACCTAGTGTTTCTCAAACTTCACCTTCCTGTAGACTTGTTTAATAAATTTTAATGTGACATTTACCTAATTTGCATTGTTTGCTGTAACTATATTTGCCTAGACCCACAGGGATCTGTGGATCACACACTGTTTAGAAATCTGCTAAAATTATCTCAACCACTTGGATATGAAAATTTCTATTCAGCACTACACAGTGCAAAAATTTTCAATGTTTTCCAATAATGTCAAATAAAGAAAGCAGTTAAGGCCCTGTACACACTAGGCGTTTTTCAACGCGCGTTAGCTCGGCGTTTGACGAGCGTTTAGCGGAGCGTGCGCACTGGCTCGGTTTGGAAATGGATGTGGAAGTGATTGCTTGTGCGTGGCTCCTCTATCGTCGCTATAAAAGACGACGGCAGAGGCAAAGAAAATTTTGGGTGCACCCAATATTACGAGATAGACTGACGCATGAAATGTTTGCGACGTTGTATCCAAAACTAAGACAAAATAAATTCAAGTTTTTTAATTCTTTTAAAATATCTATAAAATCCTTTGACGATGGTTGGTGTCTTTTAGATATCATCAATAAATAGATCAGTATCGAAATGATCGTTTTCCATTTCAGCACATATATCTCAAAGCGCTCGGCTAACGCCCGCAAAACACGCGATCGCATGTACGGTAACATGGCAGCACATATATCTCAAAGCACACGTAAAGCGCTCGCAAAATGCACGTTTTAACAAAAATCTATAAACGCACGCTTGGCGTTTGAGTGTGTACGGCTACATAGAACTCTTGGTTCTTTAAAACGTGCGTTAAACGCGCATTGAAAAATGCCTAGTGTGTACAGGGCCTAAGTATCTCAGAATGGATAGATTTATTGAAGAAGACAATGCAACACCTGAAAATCTTGCAAGAAGCAATACTTCTCAGGAAGACTTTCTACAGCAAACTAACTACTTGGGTGTTAGATTTGTGAAGAAAAACTTCATGTGGCTAGCCCATTAGTGAGATGCAAGCCTGCAATCAACCACCAGAGTTTATCCACTAAGACATTGATAGGGCTAAGCCAGTATTGATTACCATGGCCCAGACCAAATTTGTGTTATTTTACAATTTCAAGTAATTTGAAAAAATTATGATGTTTTGAAAATGTAATGTTAAAATGTAATTTTTCCTATTAACTTTAGTTAAAGTACAGTAATTTAATTTAAATAACGTAAAAGAGTGTTTTACAAGACAAAACGCCCACAGTGGGAAAATAATTTCAACATGAAAATCTTCCTTTTTACAATATTTTTTGGTATTTGTTACTCAAAGTTCATCCTTAAACGAAATTTTTGAGCCTTACAATTCGTTCCAAGGTCGCAGTCATAAATAAATTTTGTATTTTCAAACATCAAAAAGTCGATTAATTACCGTCCGTGCTAAAACCAAAAATAATCATTTATGGCACCGAATTCAATTTTATTTCTATTAATCAACATATGGCATCAAGTTTATAAAAGTATACACTATCCTATGACGACGAGAACGTGTGCTCAAATAAAGCATTCTTTTAATCTAAAATATTTACATTAACTTATAGGTTTAGCACAGCATGGCAAATCGTACGGTAGGCCCACTTAAAGGCACGATTTAATTTGAATTTCTAAAGTACATAAGAATAATTATTAATCGGTTCATAAATTACGGTTTTATTTTGCATCCAATAATTTTTGGAGAAATTTCAGGTCCAGAAATATTCCACATGCCTTTTTGTAAGTTGCATCGTACCACATTACTTCCGCCCGCCCGCCCACAGTAAGACGCATCTGGTCTACCTCGTCACGAGCAAACAAAAATCAACAACGTGGCCTAGGATGCAAATTCCCGGATTTTCCACGACTTTTTCCGAACGCTAACGAAAATCTCCAAGTTTCCGGGCGGGTGGGAACCACGTATATTAAGCGACAAAAAAAGTTAAATTCGAAGTCCCGAACGGAGGGCGGCATCGTCGGCACATTTTAAGACGGAAAGAAGAGACGCATTCAAAACGTCGACAAGGTGGTACTTCCGTAACAGTATGGGCACGGTTCCGCCGAAACAAAAAGTCTAAGGCGACATTCACAGGAGGCAGAACGAAGGCGAACGGCCACAGAGAAACGCCGGAGACGCATCTCTCGCCATTTTCGGAAAAGGGGGAGGCCCGAGACGAATCCACCGACGGCAGGACACCCAAAGACGCCACCCCGAGTCCGCCCGCCGACGGTTTTTGGTAACAAAGTACAGATTCGGAACGGCCGTCCGGTAACACCGATCTAAACTCTTCCCAAGAACCCGCAGGAAACGCCGGCCAGAGCAAGGGAGACGAGCAATATCTTGCATGGCGGCAACCGAAAGATGCCACGGTAGCCAAACGGGAACAAACGGACGAAAAACACCCATAAAATTTAATCAAATCGACGCCCAATTGCTTACATAATTAGATTTCTACCAGATTTTGGCTCAAAGGGGTGGGGCATCAAAAAAATTTTTTATCTCATTCCGTTAATATTTTTTCATATCGGGTGACCCATTAAGGAATGTGAATTTTGTACCGTTATTCTCGACTGCCAGGGGGCTTGTGTACCGTTTTTCGCCAGGTTACAAACTAGCACAGAAGGCTCGTGCCGGTTGACCGTTCTTCGTATTTGTTCCAATACACTGTTTCGACCGTAAACATAGTTTACGGTCAAACGGCGTATCATTATACACAATCTCTTCACTTTTAACGGGACCTACATTTACGGGCCACTAAAAAATTGAAAAACGTACCGTATAAATTGTTTATTAAATTTTACATAATAAATATTTTTTGAAATATAAGTGTTATATAATGAATATGTTAACAATTAATTAATTCTTGATTAATTTGAAGAGTTTTTTAGAAACTTTATTTTACTAAGTGGACCTATACGTAATCTTAGTAAAGGTTAACGTACAGTCCCGTCCGAAAATGTTATTTACGGTTTCGGCGGTAGTAATATTTGAACGAATTGCGAGTGTCTCGACTCGACGTATCTCCCATATATTAACGTCAACGTATTTCAACAATTCCCATTCTCAACCGAATTTCTATAAATATTTGGATCGATGAAAGTTCTTGCTTCTTGGCCCGCATTCATCGATCGCGCCGTCTTCCTCCACTATTTTAACCGAATTAATTTCTATCGAAATCGCCGCTCGTTCTTCCTTCGCCTTCGCTCCACGCTCCGAACTAAGAATAGACCGAGTTGGCTTTTCATCACGGGAAACTTCCCGACGTCGCCCGCAATTACGTGCACCGATCCGTTATTAACGTATTAAATAACAAGGCGGAGAATACGCACCTAACGAAAGTAGAAGACGACAGAAATCTCTTCGGTCTTTCCTTTTCTCCAACGTTAGTCCACGCCAAGATGGCGGACGTCCCACAATGCCTCGGTACTCGGACTTCCTCAGTCGTATCTGCTTTCTACGGATTCCGACCTGAGTCAACGCCACCTAGGAATATTCCTAGGTAGCGTTGCCTGAGTCCGTACGAAAACGACCGCGCGCCGCCAAACATTTGGAATTCTTTCGGCGAAAAAATAAAAATATCGTATTGGGCCCGACACTTCCTATAAAAATATAATTTTGCCATAAATTCATTAACAGAAGATTCCCCGAGTCTTCGTTCCCCTTCCACCCGTCGACGACGATAGACGGCCGGATGGCCTAGCGGTCGGGTAGTAGCCTACCGCTCTGGGGGAATAATCCCCGGGAATTTTTCGGGGGTGATCCGTCCGGATACGTCGGGCCTCGTCCCTCACCACCCGGCCGCCCCATTTCGGGCCTTGCCCAACCCATAATAAGCTGGCTAAAAGAGGCCCTCGTAGTGTACACAGGGCAGAGTTGAAAAAAAAACACCGTCGACGACGTCGTCGTCCGAGTGGAAGATGGCTAAGTCTTTTCCGTACCGTTAATTATTTCTGAATTTTTCGTTCGCCTTTGCGAAAAATGACGATTTATCCGCAGAGTCAGTTTTGCGTCCGGGCCCACTTTCCGTCGCGTAGTCTACGTACGACCTCGGGACCCGGTGTTTAATTAAACTTTACTACGCGCACCGTCACGGCCGCGCTTCCCGGAATCTCGACGGCAAGCATCTTTTGAATTTCGATGTAGCCAAAAAGGATTTATTTAATTTTAAATTATAAATGTACATTTTAAAAATCGACTAATCGACGGTTCTAACGGAATCTCTCGGGTTGGTAAGTGGACTGTCCAGGCCTTCGGCCTCCGTTTTTTCCTTAGTCGTGGGTACAGTGCTGCGACAAACTCCTAACCTAAACCTATCCTTCCCTAATGATCAATTTATTAAATAAAGTAATAATATGATTTTTAAAATGTAGATTTATAATTTACAATTAAATAAACCTTATTTACAAGATTTTTGGCTAACAGCGCCTCCTACATAGAAACTCAAAAGAAGCCGTAGGTAAAGTGTAGCCCAGTTTGTATATACAGTATTTTTTCGTTTTAATAACGAGCGGATATCGGATCTAATGTAAACAGCTACGCTAACTATCGATTTTTTTTCATTTGTTGCCTTATATTAAAGCTTAAATATGAATGTAAACATAAAAATATAGCAAATTCGCGCTAGATGTGTTCGAAAACTTCCAGATTTCTTTATAAACGACTTTAAAGAACACTTATCATTCGAAATATACAGAGCCACGCGCACCTTTTGTCGGAACACGGAGGATTTTAACCACGCGATACAACTAATCGATAGAAAATTTGACAGGCCATTGTGGCTACTCCCATAATCTAGGTACTCTATCCCGGAATTTTTCCTACTGCCATCTAGCGACGAGTGGGTTGTTCCAAAAACTGTTCCCGCAATGAAGTATATTTCTCCTTTCGTACATTTTTAGTGTATTTCTGTCACCGGCAGAGTTAAAATTCGCATCCGTTGCGAGTTCTGGAATTAGGCCCTGTACACACTAGGCGTTTTTCAACGCGCGCTTTTAAACGCACGTTTTAAAGAACCAAGAGTTCTATGTAGCCGTACACACTCAAACGCCAAGCGCGCGTTTATAGATTTTTGTTAAAACGCGCGTTTTGCGGGCACTTTACGGGCGCTTTGAGATATATGTGCTGCCTTATAGCGACGATGGAGGAGCACACATAATCAATTACTTTCTCGTCCATTTCCAAACTGAGCCAGTGCTAAACGCCGAACTAACGCTCGTCGAACGCCGAGCTAACGCGCGTTAGCTCGGCGTTAAACGCGCGTTGAAAAACGCCTAGTGTGTACAGGGCCTTAAACTTCCACTTAACGATAATTAAAATGCTTCAATGTCCTTAATTCAACTAGTTATTCTTTCAATCACCATAACAGTGTATTTCTATTAATAGGACTTATTATACTGGTGTATAAGATTACAGCAACTCAGTCACACAGATTAAAATTGTTTTATTTACAATTACCTGTCCTGCCTATAAAACATAAAAATAGTAATGCATATGCACGGATTCGGCCCAGTTCGATCGAGCTACTACCAATGTTTCGGATGCCACAATATGGCGCGAGTAGTTCATTCTGTGTCCGCTAGGGCGGTAGGGCGCCTCCGTTCCTTCCTGACCGAGAAAACTCAATTTTAGATCTAAGCCTTTCCGGTTATCGTCGAGGTGCCGGCGAAACTTCCGGGTCGATAGGTCAAAGTTCGCGGGGTTTCCCATACAGCTAATTCAGTTTTACGGCTTAATTTTATGCTGGTAATGATAAAATTTCATGGAAAGGAATAATTTTTATTCAAAATGTTCCCTCGAGGAAATGCGAACGACGGCGGACGACTCGTCATTCCTTATCGACATCGACCGGTATTATTTAAAAGCATTGGGCAAGCGATTTCAAATAGTTTTAATAAGATAGCGACCTTTCTGGATTATCTATTTGTTTGTTAGTTATGGCAACGCAACGCTCGGGCGATCTGCCTAGGGGATGCCTTTCGGGAGGTCTTTTTTAGAAAAAACTGGACCCTATTTAGGCGTTACGGACGTGGAGAAAACCCGGAAAACTCTACGTGGCCGGCCCGTCCGAACCAGGCGCGAACCGCGACCGAACTGCCGGTGTTCGGGGACCGCTCGGCCACTGTTGGGCCTCGGAGTGTCTACGAGTCCAACGATATTAGCGCAGAGAGAAAAATAGTATTAGCTTAATCGAAAGAACCGACGGGAAAGAGGCGAATTCTCGATATTGTTATTAGACTTTCAACCGGATGCGCGTTAAAGTTCATTGTCGAGCTATCGCAAAATTTTAGCACTAGGTATACGGTCGACGATTTTCCTATCGAGAACCCGATAACCGCCAACCCTATCCCCGGTTACTCTATATTTTTACCGTCTCGCGAATTTATGGCTTTCTAATAAAACTCGCTGCGTACAGATTTCGTATTCTATCAGTTCGGTAATGTTCTGTCACCAGCTGCGTATCTCATAATTTACGAACGGTCCGGACGGAAAGGATTCCGAAGTATTCGGAGTTTACAGAATGCGGTTTCCCAGACCAATGTACTACTTTACCGTACCTGGCATGCACGTGCGATACAATGCTCTAATTTAGATCATTTCTCCGAAAACACCGTCGGCAGTAACGTAAATCACAGTTTACGTTACGGCGCAGCACCTTATTTTTGCCAAGGAAATGGTTTTAGTCATCAAACCACTTTCGAGTGCCGAATTACGTTCTATCGTAAGGATATAAATTTCTAACGGATTTTCGAATGCAACAAATTCAAGAACAGGGTGGAAGTGAAGTCACGGACTTCTCCACCATTTTCTCCGTTACGCGTTTGGAGCGACGGTTGCAATACTTTTAATAGCCCACCGGTGGCCGAGCGGTCTTCGTACCCCGAACACTGGGATTTTGGTGGCTCGGACGGGCCGGCCGCGTAGAGTTTTCCGGGTTTTCCCACGTCTATAACGCCTAAATAAGGACCAGTTTCCCCTAAAAGACCTCCCCTTGGCAGATCGCCCGAGTGTTGCATTGTCGTAACTAAACAATACTTTTAATAAAGGAATTAGAGGACTGTCTGTCCTTTAACGGCTGACTTAGCCCTAAGTAAGGAAACGGAAGGAAAGATACAGGCCGGATCATCGCGTAGACAAATGTCCAGGGCCCAGTCAAACTGTCTATTTTGAAAAGATAGTTTACTTTTTTGTGGGACAATTGTATATAATAAAGAAAAATATATTGCTTTTTATAAGGTTATTGCGAATTCTAAAATCTAAAGAAAATGTCTTCTTACGTTTCTTCTTATTGAAAGTAATTCTTCCGATAATTTAGAATTTTTTTTAAAGCGATAAGAATAACGTTAATTTAACTACAAGATGAGACCGGCGTTGCCATGGCAAAAAAAAAATAAAATAACAAAGGTTGAGATTATTAGATAATGTCGTACTACATAGAAGCCCATTTTGGAGACCAAATTTAATTATATTATAGCCAGTCGAACGGCCCGATGCATCGGGGCATACTATTACACGCATAGAAATGATTTCCATAGCTGGCGCTCGATACGCCGACAGAAACTGCCCATTTTTTCAGCAGTTTCACATTATTTAGTTTTGTTTTATATTTCTTGCGGGAGAGGGAGGGGCCCGGTAAGAAGAAAATGTCTAGGGCCTAAAGAGGGTTAATCCGGCCCCGGGAAGGTAGAATGAAACGGTGAAGACGTATTTCCCGCCAACCTAGCCGTTAGCGGAAACGTTGGACGGGAGAGGAACTTTCCAGAACGCTTGGCCGGGACTTATCGTCGGCGTTGAAAGCTCAAAGGCGGAAATAAATTTCCATCCGCGTACGAGTTGCCAAGTTTATCGCCGTCAATATTTATAAAAGAATTGATATTTTTTATTGTATGAATCGCGATATAAAACTATTTCGAAGCAGTTTAGAATGGTTTTGTTATTTCCATTTTGTAACGATAATTTCTCCCAAGACTGTCTCGGTGCTGGGCGTAATCGCAACGTTTATACACTAACCGTTCCTTCGTCGTAATTACTTTCCTATTTTAAATTAATAATTTGGAAATTCTCCAAGCTCAATTTTGAAAATTGTTCCGCGCGTACCTCTCGTCGTCCACGTTTCTGTTCGACAGATACGCTAACGACCAGAGGACCACCAGTTCCGCTCCCCGAAAAATGGGCGTCCGTAACGCCCGAATAGGGGCCGGTTACCTTCGAGACCTTCCGGAAGGCATTATCTCCGCGTATGGCCGAGCGATTAAGCCGCACGGGCCGATCTCTCGCGCGAATAGAGGACGTCTGGGTCTCCGGTTAGAACGAAACTGAGCGAGCACGTAGCCCTAAAAATAGAATTGTCGGGTATTAATTAATGTATCGCGGCTACGACCGCGACTACGTAATCGTAACTGCCCGCCAAGCGGGGTTAATTAAAAGAGACATTAGCATTTAATGCTACGGGTCGGAGGGAGTGCTCCACTAACTATAGAAAGAAATGTAGCCTTAAACACAGTTCCTCGCGCCCACTTCTCGAGCGAGAATTGGCCGTTTAGTTTATAAATCTTTGCAAGTTTCGATTCTCTTTCTACGACGTTAGCGGAGGGGATAAGACCCTACGCGACGTACGCTCGAACCTTGACAATTTCTGTCGTTTCTTTCGTGTAATAAAATTTTATTTTATTTCATCGCGCCAATAGCGCCATTTACATTTACGGCTTTAAAAAACGAGAGATCAAAACGCGACATTGTTTCCCGTTTTGAGAAAACAAAGTTTCTGTATACAGTAATACACCGAACTTACGCGATAGGTGGGACCGAGCGATAACCGCGTAAGTCGGGGAATAATTTCGCAATTCGTATAAAATCCAAGTAGGATGTATGTAAGCTAATAAATGTTCTCGTTAATCTTGTCTCGTCTTTTGATTCGTTGGCGGTTACAAGGAATCACCACATATTCTCTCGAGTCTCCGTAGATATAACAAACACGGAAATAAATTGTAGCTATGTGTCGATTCCGCGCGACACGTCCGAACAATAGTGTGGGGGGAGTGAGTAATCGAAAGTGGCGTGGCGCTCAAACAAGAGGAATCGACGAGATTTGAAAATCGCGTAACTCCGGGTTGGCGTAAGTCCAGGAATTACTGTATTTAACTCTGGCTTGCGGTTAAATAAAATTTTTATTTCTTCGTATTTAAGTATTGTTATATTTGAAGCGTAACAAACGATTAAAAAACGGTACGGTACGACTCTACTACCGTCTTTTTTTGTCTATCCGAAGCTTATTCACTGGTGTCGACGTACTACGTAACCGTAAGGAAAAAATCTTTATACGCGCTTTAAACCCGAGAAATAACAATACGATAAAATAAGTAATTTTGTTAGACACGCACAGAAACAAAAAACTAAAATTGCGCGGGTTGGAGCCTAGGCGGCCTAGTTCCGGTATCCGGCGTCTTATCCACCGGGCCGAGGCCGTAAGAGAAGGCAAACTTTCGGACTTACACGCTAAACGCCAGAGAAGCGGGTCCAATTATTTCGAGGGCTACTCGCTCGCCCGTCCCGTCCCGTCCCGATACGAATTACGCGGACGTCGGTCGGGTTAGGGCCGGACGGTACCGTACTACGTAGTCCCTATTTTACCATAAAATTAACGTAGGCGGTGATAGTAGTAAATTCGAACGGGCTACCGCCGAAAATCGACACGGCAATTTCGGAAACGCGCGGTCGTTCCGTTTTAATTAAGTTAAACGGGGAAAAATCTTGGAAACTTTAGCCCGGGTAGCCTTCTTTGGGCGTAATTGGCGGGATCCGCATTAACGCGCACGGGCCACCCCGTTTTTAATTAGTCCGTAAAATCGCCAATTTAAACGCCTTTAATTAACCGATAGGGTAGAAATAAGAAGAACTTATCGTGTTTCGCCATTCGTTTGCTTTAATTTCGTATAGCGCCCGCGTTCTAACTTCGGCTTATTTATCGCCTCCGTCCCGTAGGGCCTAAGGCCAGAATTGGCCGAAGCCAGGCGCCACGACTTACGGGCAAAGCGGCCTTCCGATAAAATTCGTCGTAACCGAAAAGGCGGTGGTGGAAAATTGAGTTTATCCGGACCCTCCGCCGAAGACATTCCGTTAACGGAATTGGTCCTATGTGGAATCGAAACCCACTTTGGACGGGGGTAGACGTCCGATGGTTAAAAGGAACTGCGTACAAACTCTCCGACCTTTTCTTTCTTCGGAAGGCTTCGGTAGTCTACGCTAGTATTGTACACTATGTACTGTACCAGTACCTAAAATTATTGGCTTCTTCGGAGATTATTTTTTCCTCCAGAAGTTGTAGTCGAATCCATCCCGCCTTCTATCGTTTTTCTTCTTTCCGCTTCGTCTATCGACGCACGTATTTGAAAAGTAAAATTACGCCTTCCTTTTCTCTTCCGTTTTATCACCGAAACTGGCCCGGAACAGCACGCGCCGAGACGAAACCGAAATCCGACGGCGGATTTGCCCAACCAAGTGGCAACTAACGACACTGGCCAATCCCGGCGTAATCGCTTTTAACGGCGCGGACGGTGGATAAGGCCGAGTTTTCCCACGAGAAGGCGGTGGAAACGCGTAACGTAAATGTCCCGTGACGGATAATTTTGAGATTACCTAACGCCGGGTACGGGTGGATTTTCGCGGAGCGCTACCCGGCCATCTCCGGGAGGTTACGCGGTATAGTTTTGGAGAAACTCGGGGCTCGGACGATAACGGCAATGGTTTACGCGCGCTTTCGAATAAATCGACCGTTTGAGAGTCCAAACACGGCTAAAGAGCGGGTGTTTTCGTCCGAGACCCGTAGCCGTTTCCGCCGTTGTAAGAGAAAGCGAAAGGTGGAAACGGCTTTTTATTAAGGAAACATTCCACGTATTTCGTCCGTTCGAAAACGAAAGACCCGGGAGGCTCGGGCCGGCACGTTATCTTTCTTTTCCGGTTTACCGGCGAAAGCTTTCGGGCTGGAAGAACGGGTACGTAAATACGTATAAAAATACCAGTGGACGACGGAGACTATTTAAACGCCGGAGGAGGGAAGAGCGGGCGGAAAATGTCTGGAAGGCGGGATCCTTCCGTTTCCTTTAAACAAAGGACGACTGCGTGCCCGGGCGCAAACATCCGGCACGGAAGAAAGAGCGAAGTAGCAATTTAGCTTCCTTCCCCACCAAGCCTTTAGTCCACTTACGATAGGACTAAACGCTTTTCTGGCAACGTCGTCGCCTTCCCAGTACGACAACGTCCGCTAAATGTCCGGAAGCTCTTCCCTGGGAAAAGACTTTCCTAATATTATCATCGGAACAGTTACGCCTCCGATTCGCGTGCCGAATTTTATCCCGGGTCGGTCGGACACACTTTCCGCTACTTTCGCCAGTAACGGGAGCGACAAAAACTGGCGGAATCTCGGCCCCGGGGCCTTCCCCGTTTGATGGCGGTAAAAGTTTCACCCGACTTCCGAATTTAACGGCTTCCGCGGTTCTCTACCTCTCGGTGGTCCGCTTCCGCCCGCCGGTACTAGACTCGAGGCCGGGGCCGGCGGCGGAAGAAGACCGATTCCTTCCTCCGTAAATAATTCGGCCCGTCCGCGGCCGGATTAAAAACTCGCGCCTCTCCGGAAGACCGTTACTTATCGGCGCGCGGGGATTCCCGGCCGGTGGAAGGCGTCCAAGGCAAACTCCATTCGCGTCGCGCGTCCGTCGGCCGAGATTTACCCGGCCGCGCGAAAAATGGGTCGCGGCCGCCCGAGCGCGGCGCCGGAAGAAGTAGAGGCATTCGGGGCGGGAAAAAGGAGGATAAAGTCATTTATTAAATAGCGGCAGCGCCTCTTCTTCGACGAAAGACTCTAGTCCCGGGAGCCGACGGTCCGACGGAGGAAAGGTGGCAGCGGACCCACGAAGGGAGGATAGGGGTTCTCCTCCGGTATCTCGGCCGTCAGCAGGTAGGGCCCGGACAGCACTCGGAATCCGCGGCCGTCGGCCGAGTAGCGCACCACCCGAAACAGGCCGGGTCGGTCCAGGTATCCGTAGCTGCCCCGCACCTCCCCCCGCGAGGTCCTCTCCTCCTGGTGGAACAGCTGGGCGGGCCCTCCGGTGCCCGTGTCGTATCCGTAGCGGTAGCTGCCGGGGCCGCGGTGCCCGGTCGTCTGGAAGTGCGTCCGGCGTCCGGAAGGCAGGCGAACGGGGCGTCCGAATCCCGAGGGAGGCGGATCCGCCGCCCAGGCCGCCAGGGACAGCAGCAGAACCTGCAAGAGAAAGAGTGGCAGACAGAGGAAGAGGCAGGCGACGGTCGGTGACCGAAACAACTCACCCACACCCGCGGCGCCATCCCGTTCGACGAGAGTCCGGCCCGTGATCTACCGATGCCTCCTCCGCCGGATCCGGTTTTTATGGCGGCCGCCACCGCCATCCGCGATCCTCCTCCTCCTCCTCCTTCCGGGCGCTCCGGGCCTTTCCCGCGTCCGGAACCGGAAAATCCCCGACACCTTCCGCAGATCGGTCGAATCCCCCGGCGCCGCGCGTCGGGAAAGCCAACCATTTCCTCCCGGCGGGCGGTCGCCTAGCAACGACCCGTTTGCCGGAACCGGTTCCGGCGGCAGACGGAGCACCCGCGTCGACACTCGGCGCGAAGGAGGAAGAACGCCCGGCGGAAATTCCGGAGGAGGTCCTCTACCGGAAGCGAGAATGCGGGGGAACAAACGTCCGTTTCGGCCTTCCGTAACGGACGAAAGGACGCGGCGAAATTCCACCTTTAACCGTTCTTGGCCGCGGAGAGCTCTCGGGCGAGCTTCCCACCCCTACCCGGGGCGGGTCCACCTCGTACTTTTTCGCGTTGCCGGGAAAGGAGGTCTTCGGTCCCGTTTTCGTCGGGAGGTCAGGAAGGAGGAAAAGAAAGGTTGCCGCGACGCCGGAGGGGAGCTCGACCCGGGGAGAGGAGGGAGCGGGCCGGCAGTTCGAGGGTGGGGAAGGAGAGGACGGAGCGAGGAGGATAAAACTGCGTGTATTTACTCGGTCGGAGCCGGAATCTATCCGAATATGATACAAAAGAACGGAAAGACGAGCGAAGAGGAGAACGCTTCTTCTTTCTGCCCGCCGGGGATCTTCAGACGGTGCTCTGCCTCAACAGCGACAGTTGACTCCCTCCGTCTTCCGATTCCGATCTGTCGGCGGCGGCGGCGGGGGGACGGAGGCCGCCGGAAGGGGGGACGACGGCGTTTCCGGTTTCTTCTCCGCGGCGTCCGGGACGGGGCTCAGCTTTTTTCTTTCCTGAAAGGCGAAGAAAAGCAAAAATTAGCAGCCGCCCCCCGGATTCCACCACCCATGCCGACCGGGCGGGAGACGGCAAAAATTCCCTTTTAAATTATAAGTGGTGGGCCGGGGTCCGTTCCTCGGGAGCCAAGGAACTACCTGCCGAATTTCCCGGTTAAACTCCGGGGTTATTTTCCAGACGCGTGCGCTTCCGGGGTTACCGACTCGGTTACCGGCCAGGGAAGGGGAGCGATTAAAACACGAATTTGGTTTTCCCGATTACCGAAACCGTCGGTCGACGGCTACCTTTCTCGCTTGCCCGTTATCCGGAGCATCGGACGACGCGTGTAATTTGACTTCCTTTTCGGAAGTCAAATTACACGCCGTCGACCCGGAAATTAAAATCAAATACGGAGCATCGACTGCTTCGACCTAACCCGCCCGCAGTTTCCGGGAAGCTGCCGAAGAGGCGCCTCTTTCCCGGCGGGTGGGGAAGGGCGCCGATGGCCTCTTCCTCCGGTCCGGTCGCGTTATGGTCCCGCGCCTCCGGCTAGAAGAGGCCGGAGAGGAATAAGGACGGGATCCCGGGCGACGGAGGCCGTCGGGACCCGACCAACTGACTGGCACGCTCTTTACACCGTTTACGTCTGCGTCAAAAATGCCCGGAGGGGAAAGCGGTATTCCCGGTAAAAGAGAGGTTACATATCGGCGCGCGCGAAAAGTTTTGGCTTCCGAAAGGGGTCATCCCCGTCACTCACCGTGGGCGTCGGAGATCCGGTAGTATCCTTCCGTCGTCCCGCGGTCTTCGCCCGCCGGCGGACCGCTGCCGTTTCGCACCGGAGGAAAGACGGAGGCGGGTGGGTCCGGGTCGACGGCGGCGCCGGAAGTCGGACCGTTCTCCCTCTGCTGGCAAAAAGAAAAATCACCGGATGAGTTCCCGTCCTTTTAGGAGCTAGGTCGCGCGCGCGACCGAAGAAAAGGATCCGGGGCGAAAGAAGTGGGCGCGGAAGCGGAGGGCCGCCCAATTTCTTTCGTCCGTCCCAACCCGTGCCGTATCGTTTGTCGGGCGCGTCGGCCCGCTTTATCTTAATTCCGTACCACCCCGGGAAGAAACCATTTTCCGCCGTCGCGGCCTATTTACGTCCTTTCCCGGGAGCGGGCATCGGTGACGTTAAATTTCGGTGGTTAACGGCGGAGGGATGGGGAAATACGGGGGGTCCCACCCACCGTAACGATCGAAAGACTCGTCGGCCGGGGAATTTGTATTTTAGCAACGGATTAGGACTGCGCCCAGACGTTTCCTCGCGTTTAAAACGGGCAGAAAAGACCCGGAAGGAAATTATTAATTTAAAGACAGAAAACGTTTTATCCAGTCGTCGTTTACAAATAAGAAATAAAAGTTGCTCAAGGTCGATGCCCTATTCTCTTTATTACGGCAATTTACCGTAGGTTAATAGGTAACCGGCGGGATACCCGCCGCCCGCCGGTTTGGGGTAGAAACCGAAGAATTGTCGCCGGGCGGTAAGAAAAAAGACGGGGCCGAGAGAGCGGGAGCGTTTCGTTCGGACAGGTAGGGGGCGAAGAGACGATATTTTCCCGGTCGAGAAATTAACAAATCCCGCGACCGAGGGGAAGGCGATTACGTTTTAAGGAGACAACATTTAACAGGAACCGTTAACCCAATTTATTTTCCGTCCAGGAAATATTTTAAACGTTTTGGCGTTATTTAGGCGGACGAGACTTTAGACTCACCCCGTAGACTCTGGACTGGGAGGAATATATTTTCCAATGGTTGTCGGTAGGAAGAACCGTTTCTTCTGTTATGATGCCTCTTCTGTCTATCAGACTGCGAAAAAGTTTTTCTATTAGCATACGTACTGTACGTATACGGCTAAAATCTTAACTTAATATTAAAAAACACCGCGCATTTTATACGTAGAAGGGACGATCTTTCCTTTCCGTTTAACCAATCGCAGTTTAGTTAACGTCGTATTTTCGTCACGCGACTGCAACCCGCCATTTTCTAAGCCAAGCGCGTGGTTTTAGCATCGTCGCGTGTCGGCGCTAGTGAAATAGTTGTTTTAAAATGTCGAAGGACAGCGAACTACGAGTGGCCATTTTTATTTTATGGAAGACGACCCTAAATTAATGTCGAGGAAGTTGAGCGCTTCCTTTACCGTAAAAGATGGCAAGAAATAGCCGACCGTCCGAATTCCGATGGAGTCGGCTCACAAAAACATCCAGAAAGACGACGAAAAGTAACTGATAGCTTTGAATATAAATTATGATATCATTTAATACTCATGAAATAGTGCCGGTAATTGTTTTGCAACTCCAACACCAACTATACAACAGGGTGCGTAGGAAAGTGCCTTTAACCGGAAAATTCTAGCCAACAGAGAGAGCTACAGCGATGCCAGTGAGGTAACGGTATAGTAAAGCGGGCTAATTCACGCGACAGCAGCGCCCCTAGTGGCGAAATTAGAAAGTTTTAGAGCATCAATTAATTAGTACGAAAAGACGCGTGGTTGACGCGGATAAGATAAATTGTATACCCAAAAATGTCCGAAAGGAATAGCCATAGGTATGAAGAAATACGCACAATTTATTGCATAAAACACGTACTTACGTCAATACAGTTTGATAACAATGGCGTGTATCGTGAGCAATGGCGAACTTTTCGAACGTACTCGACATTAACTTGTTATCACTGCGTGACAGTTTGCCTTTCCGTTGTTTTTTGTGCGATGTTATCAAACTGTATTGACGTAAGTACGTGTTTTATGCAATAAATTGTGCGTATTTCTTCATACCTATGGCTATTCCTTTCGGACATTTTTGGGTATACAATTTATCTTATCCGCGTCAACCACGCGTCTTTTCGTACTAATTAATTGATGCTTTAAAACTTTCTAATTTCGCCACTAGGGGCGCTGCTGTCGCGTGAATTAGCCCGCTTTACTATACCGTTACCTCACTGGCATCGCTGTAGCTCTCTCTGTTCGCTAGAATTTTCCGGTTAAAGGCACTTTCCTACGCACCCTGTATAGTGTATTCACTGGGACACAAGGCAAATCTCATCATTAATTTTTATTTAGTTGATACGTGTATTTAATGTTTGTACACGTTTCGGGCTATTCTTTCCCCTCCTCGGTCAACTAAATTTCCATTTTTCATCATCCGGAGCAGTTCTTATCGTATAAATAGACTTTTTCTTGATTTTTACACTTTCAAATCACAGATATTTGTAAACTTAAATTCGTTTTTAAACATTTCTATGCGTTAATTAATTAATCAACTTATTCTCTAGATTACCATTTTCCATCATTCGGAGTGGTTCTTATACACGTATCAACTAAATAAAAATTAATGATGAGATTTGCCTTGTGTTCGACTTACAATATGACTATCATTTTAATTTATACATATGCAAATGAAACCTATTTCAGAAATAATGCTCGTGATAAAGCTACTTTAAATTTTAACAAGAAAGCAATTACATTATTCATACAATAGTCACAAATAGTTAAGGTAATTATTTTTAAGCAATACAACAACATAGTTTATTGGTATAAGAACGATTTTACTTCACGAGCAATTGGAGACGGAGCTAATAACTCCGTCTCCAATTGCTCGTGAAGTAAAATCGTTAGAAAGAAATCGCAAATATTTGGTGTAAAATCGTTCTTACACCAAAGGACGCCACGTTGTTTTCACTTTCGTTACGTTCCTAACGGCCTTAAGAGAAAAGTCCCCCGGCCGGATACCTTAAGAGTCCTTATTTGGAACTTTTTTTTTTTTTGCTCTTTCTGCCCTGTAGGCACTGGGAGGGCCCACAGGGCAGAAAGAGCAAAAAGAGATAGGATTAACGATAATGAGGAAGGCCTTAGCTTAAAACTAGAGCAAAAAAGCTCTGTTATAGTACATTTTTTGAACATTAATATTATATTTAGAGAGGGACCTATGTCTACCGGGGTATTTATTAAACCAATGCATAGCCCATTATATATATATGCTAGTTCTAATAGTCCTTATAAATATAAATTAGCAACATTTCGAGCATTAGTCAGGAGGGCTTTTTTATACTGCGAAAGTATAATAGACAGGGATGCAGAAATAGAAAGAATCATGCAGGTAGCAGAAGAATTGGGCTACAAGAGGAACGTTATAAAGGGGATTATCAATAAATTAGAAGTTGGTACAGATATAGTATCTCTTTGAGGTCCATCTACACACACGAAATTTACATACAACAAGAGCTTAGGAAGCATTATGAAAGAAATCGCAAATATAAAAGATACAAGGATGGTCTTAAAAAGAGCTCCAAATTTGTACAGAATACTTAGAAAAGATAAAGGGGTGGTTAAAAAAGATATGTCGGGTGTATATAAGATCCCATACGAGAATCACATATTAGGAATAAATAAAGAATATGTTGGGGTTACTTCTAGAAACCTAGGGGTAAGGATAAAAGAGCACAGATATGATATTAGAAAAGGTTCTAATGCCACAGTATTGGCTCAAATGGCACAAACGGAAGGTTCAATAGTACGATGGGATGAAGCGGATATCCTGAAACAGATACACTCTCCGACTTTGGCAAGAACGGCTGAAAAGTTAGAAATTTATAGAAGTGTACTTAAAGGGAATTGCATCAACGCAAGAGATGCGGAGGGACTTCCTTCCGCCTGGAAGTTTGCAATTAAAAACTTAAAATAAGAGCAGGAACTTTAATAATATTTGTGGTAAAAACTCTGTATAGTTAAGTAGAAAAACTCTGTATAGTTAAGTAAGCAATATTAATATTTAGTATTAACAGTTTGTTTGTTATATTTGACTATTTTATTTTATTTTTAGTATTAGCAGCATTTGTATTAATTTTATTATTTACAAACATTAGTTGGCTATTAATAGCGTATATGTTATCGGTTATTAATATTTATATTTTGTATTTTGAACTTCTTGTTCTATTTTTGAAGTGTTCCAATTAACCTGAGGATGATCCATTGACTGGATTGAAAAAACGTTTGTTTTAAGAATAAATCTCTCAGCTAGTGATCAGGTCTTGATTTAGTTGTTTAGCTGGATATTATTTTGTCAGTATGAGTATGTTGTGAACTTGTGATGTATGCATATTTTTTTAAAATTTTATTTTATTTAGTTTTATTTTCCATTTCGTTTGTCCATTATGTTGTATGCAAACTTTTATTAAGTAATAAATGCACCTAATACTGAATAGTATACAAAACACTTACACAACCAAAAATCCAGTTTAAGAAACAAACTGAAGGTGGAAATTGCTAAAAGCAATTGAAAACATTCATTTTTCTCCTTCATTTTGTTTCATGAACTGGATTTCTGTCTGTGTAAGAAGTATTTTACATTCTTTTATTTAGATTAATTCAAAACACTTCAGTTAAACACTTTTGAATGCTGCTGTTCATTTGTTTCATTTAAGTTTAGACCCGAAAGAAAAGTATAAAGTAGCTTAAAAACATTCATTTGAAAAGTAATTTATGTTGAATATTATAAGATTGTAGTATTCAGTGTGTGAATTTCATCCAGTTGGCAATTTTTTGTTAGTTTATATTAATATTTTTTTGTTAATTATAATTGGTTGCATAAATCAACTAGGACTACTTGGGGTATAGCATAGATTTATTTACACTGAATTTCATTTCATACTGTATCCACTGATGCATAACTCACACACAAAACAAGATCTGTTATGCCATTTAAAAATCTAAGACTTCAAGTTACCACAACTAAACAGTTCAGTTTTCACTCAGCTTTGTGACACAAATACTAGTTTGAGACTGCAATAAAAATAATGTAAATAAAAAATAAAAATTCTTACATCTCAGACAATTCGAATTTTGTTACTCATCTAAAAATTTATAATATTTTTTAAAATATATGAGAAATAAGCCATTTTGAGAAAATATGTGAATAAAGCAGTAACATTTGCTTCGGAACATAAATTTTAACTTTCAAAAAAATAAATCTTGGACTAAAATAATTCAAGAAATAAATAATCCACAAATAAATGAATAAAAAATAAATTTTAATTTACCAGACCAAGATGATTAAAAAGTCCAAAATATTCTTTATCAGTGGTGTGTTGTGACTAGAGGATTTGATCCCAAGATCTCGAAAATCGGGATCCCGACTACTTTTCAGTCCCAAAATTTTCGGGATTAAGTTTTCCTAATCCCTAGATTTTCGGGATTGACATCATTTTAAAAAAGTTGCAAAATAGACTGCATGAAGCGAAACGTTCAGTGCCAGTGCTTTTACAGAATTGCTTGCCTATCATTTTAATATAAAATATGAGAAGTTTTATTCCAAGCAAGCAGCAGAAATTAACCAAGCGGGCTTGCGATGCTTGCTTGGAATAAAACTTCTTGTATTTTCAAATAAAATGATAGGCAAGCAGTTCTCACTGGGTTACTTGGTAATATACTTCATTTTTGTATTTTTGAATTTTCGCG